AAAGTGATGATTTTTTTAGTCCCTGGGTAGTCAGTGTTAAACACACACTTGGACTTACACACCTAAAAAAAGGCTTAAAACAAACTGAATGTATTGTCGTTATGTTTCTATTTACGTGACATCACCGAAAGAGGGAAATAATAAATGTAAGGCACCCGTTTTAAATAATAAATTAAGTATGATACATTTTCCGCCATTTTGATTTTAAATTTGCCGCGAGCTAAAGTGTGAAAATAAATTTTAGTCATCTTAATAAACTTATGGTACTTGTAACTATGTCCAAATGCACACAAATTAACCCGAATAAACAAATCTCACTGACCAACCACCGCAAGGAGGGGGGAAGTGTGAATAAGCTGGAGCGAAAAAGAGATTTATTTATAATTTATTTAAAATAAAACTCTTAAAAGATCAAATTTTGTACCGATAATAAACACTGTGCAACAGAAAAGTGATGATTGTTTTAGTCCCTGGGTAGTCAGTGTTACTTTTTACATGCTTATGCCTCAAAAGTACCAAAAAGGCTATAATTCCCCTCAAACTTGATATTTAGAAATATAGCTATGTTCAAAGATAAAACGCGGTGTGCATTTGTGTCATTCCTTCACGTAAAGTCCTGGTCACAAAAGCAAAGTTTGTGGGGAATTGTAGCCTTTTTTGAACTTTTGAGGCATAAGCACGTAAAAGTTAACATTTATTACCCAGGGTAAAAAATCGTGTTACATCGTGTACGATCATCGAACATTGCTCAACCTCTATCATCTTATTACCTAATAATTCAGAGTAAGAAAAAGTAGTAAACAGTAATATCTATCTATGTTTTAACGGAGATGTTAATAAGCGCGACCCACCTTGTAAGCTTGCCCACGGAATGAAAATGCCCCTCCCCATCCACCGACGGCAACCCCCGTCAACGTTTCGCGCATGCGCAAATGTCGCGCGAGGAGCGGCACGGAAAAGAAATAAATAATGTTGAATATCATTTAATCGATAATTAAACCACTTTAAAGGTGACGGATAAAAAAACGGACATGCCTATTCCCACCGCGGGGCAAGGGACGTGCCTCCCGGCAAAAAAAATTCGGCCTAAACCCCACGGTCCGAGCGCCAAATCCCTCGCAAGCGAGCGTACACAGACGGACAGACAAAAAATGACTAACTTTACTTAATAATAAGGCTACAGTCTACATTATAGACTGCCAGTACGCTCACCCAGCTTTAAAAACAGGCTACAGTCTACATTATAGACTGCCAGTACGCTCACCCAGCTTAATAACCAGGCTACAGTCTACATTATAGACTGCCAGTACATTCACTCAGATTAATAACCAGGCTACAGTCTGCATTATAGACTGCCAGTACACTCACTCAGCTTAATAACCAGGCTACAGTCTGCATTATAGACTGCCAGTACACTCACTCAGCTTAATAACCAGGCTACAGTCTGCATTATAGACTGCCAGTACACTCACCCAGCTTAATAACCAGGCTACAGTCTGCATTATAGACTGCCAGTACCTCACTCAACTTAATAACCAGGCTACAGTCTACATTATAGACTGCCAGTAGACTCACCCAGCTTAATAACCAGGCTACAGTCTACATTATAGACTTCCAGTACGCTCACCCAGCTTAATAACCAGGCTACAGTCTACATTTTAGACTGCCAGTACACTCACTCAGCTTAATAACCAGGCTACAGTCTACATTATAAACTGCCAGTAGACTCACCCAGCTTAATAACCAGGATACAGTCTACATTATAGACTGCCAGTACACTTCTAGATTTGAAGCTTTCGTGACTGCAATGATTCATACTCTTAGTTTTTTCGGAAAAGTCACGTAGGTAAAAAATGAGTGGTGGTGGTGAGGGTGAGTGTTGAGGGTGAGTGTTGAGGGTGAGTGAGGGTGAGTGGTGGTGGTGAGGGTGAGTGTTGAGTGTGAGTGGTCAGGGTGAGTGGTGGTGGTGAGGGTGAGGATGATTGGTGAGGGTGAGTGGAGAGTGTGAGTGGTGAGGGGTGAGCGGTGAGGGTGAGTGGGGAGGGAGAGTGGTGAATGTGAGGGTGAGGATGGTTGGTGAGGGTGAGTGGTGAGCGTGAGTGGTGAGGGAAAGGAGTGAGTGGTGAGGGAGAGTGGTGAGGGTGAGTAGTGGTGGTGAGGGTGAGTAGTGAGTGGTGAGGGTGAGTAGTGAGGGTGAGTGGTGAGCGTGAGTGGTGAGCGTGAGTGGTGAGTGGTGAGGAGTGAGGAAGAGTGGTGAGTGGTGAGGGTGAGTGGTGAGCGTGAGTGGTGAGGGAGAGGGGTGAGTGGTGAGGGAGAGGGGTGAGCGTGAGTGCTGAGTGGTGAGGGTGAGTAGTGAGGATGATTGGTGAGGGTGAGTACAGTCAACATGCACTGCTGTAATCATAGCAGGTACCACCACCACCACAGTATGTACTGCTCTCATTAGAGCAGGTACCACCACCACAGTATGTACTGCTGTCATCATAGCAGGTACCACCACAGTATGTACTGCTGTCGTCATAGCAGGTGCCACCACACTCGGTATGTACTGCTGTCATCATAGCAGGTACCACCACCACAATATGTACTCCTTTCATCATAGCAGATACCACCACAATATGCACTGCTGTAATCATAGCAGGTACCACCACAGCAGTATGCACTGCTGTAATCATAGCAGGTATCACCACAGCAGTATGCACTGCTGTTATCATAGCAGGTACCACCACAATATGCACTGCTGTCATAATAACAGGTACCAACACAGTCAGTATGCACTGCTGTAATCATAGCAGGTTCCACCACAATATGCACTGCTGTAATCATAGCAGGTATCAACACAGCAGTATGCACTGCTGTAATCATAAAAGCTATCATTACAGCAGTATGCACTGCTGTAGTGATAGCAGGTACCACCTCAGTCGGTATACACTGCTGTATTGATAGTAGATACTGCTATCGAGTTGGCAGATACTGCTATATAGAGTTAGTAGATACTAAAACAGTCAGTATATACCACTACAGTCAGTACATACTACCACGGTGAGTACCTATTAGAGTCAGTAGATCATATTATAGAGTGAGTAGATACTGCTATAGAGTTAGTAGTTACTACTATAGTCAGTGGATACTACAATAGAGTCAGCGGATACTATACACTTAGTCGTTACTACTATATAGTCGGTAGATACTACTGTAGGTCCAGTAAATACTACTATGGTCAGTAGTTACTACAGTCACTAAATACTACTACACAGTCAGTAGCTACTACTGGCTCAGTAGATACTATGGTACAGTCAGTAGATAATACTACAGAGCCAATAGATACTACTTACTCTGTTGTATGTAAGGTGTGTAGGTATATATACCTATGCGAGGGTAAAGATATTTTTTGAGGGAGGGGGGTCCACAATTTTCGGAAACCTTTTACATCAACTATTTACCCCACACTTTCTACAACTTTTTGGACTTGTGCAAGACTCTTATATATTCGTTGGTGGAGAAATGTACAAACGGCCCACCAGGCTTTGACAATACCTTAGTATCTGTGTATATATATGTAAGGTTTTTAAGAAATATATTTTTCACCCGGACAACGCCGGGTACTTCCGCTAGTTTTAATATATATTGGGGGGGACAAACCCCCCCCCCGCCCCCCAATATTCAAATATGCTCAAAATGTCCCCCCGCAATATATTCCTATAAAAAATGTTATTGCTATGCTATGTAAATAAAAACAACAATTTGCTAAACCTTGGCCACAATATCTGGCATTGTCTTCATATAAATCAATGCGTAGATTTATGTGTATATGATTGTGGATATAGGTTGTGCTTTATTAATCCCTAATCTCTGCCATTACATTCAATGAAACAAGAAATGGTAAAAAAAAAGTAAAAACAGAGCAATGTAATACAATACACTATTAGACATTATTGTTAAAAATAAACAAAAAGTTTATCCCATGTGTTAGTGAATGTTTTAATATTTTAGGCAGGAAATTAGTTTCCAAATGTAGATATTTTTCTGGGTTGGGACCCCAAGACACCTTGGAAGATTTGGTCCCCCCCAATGTTGACACCATGGCTACGGCCTTGACTTAAAGTGCAAACTGATTGCAATACTTCATGGCAAAATGTTTGACTGCACCGTATAAAATAATGCACGCCAGATTTAAGAATGAACTACTCTGTGTGTGGAAGAGTAGGCCAAATACCCTCTCTAGAAGGGCTCTAGCGGAGACCATTCTGAACCGGTCCCGTGCCGTGTGTAAACATCGCCGCTAGGTGAGACAAAGGCGGTCGGGCGTAATTTGAGGCCGAGTCGACCTAGGGGAGGCCCGGGACCGGTTCAGATAATCGTCACTGGTGGTGTTGGCCGTGAGCGGGAATCGAACTCGGGTCACCAGGTTCGTAGCGAAGCGCGCTAATCGCTGCACCACCGCTCCCCACCACCACCACCATCATCACCAACCCGCATTGACCAGGGTGGTGAAGTATGGTCAACCAACCCCCCCAATACGAACCCGTACGGCGTCAAGAACCCCTCGTTATCCAGCAGAATATTTATATTTTGTTATCGCAAAATATAAAAATTAGATGCCAGTGCAGCGTGTGGGTTGGTGAACCCATCTGCGCGGATATTCGAGATATTGTGGTGGTGGTGATGATAAGGGTCATATTAAGAGGCCTTCATCCAGCAGTGGATCGATTATGGCCGATGGATGGATGGTAATTGACGCCGGTGGTTACGTAAGATCACATTTAATTGCTGTTCACGAAGTAAACTTAATGTGGTTACCAATAAGCGCATCGGCTAACGGGTATCATTGCATGCACACTGTACGCGATTGTACTTTGATAGGATCATTATAAAACGTACGTTATGAATGAGTAAAACAATAACGTCTCGGTCAGAAACACAACAGCAGCAGTAACAAAATAAAAAAGCGACGATAATAATCATAATACAATAAAAATATTTAATAACATTAAACTCACCGGAGCCAGGATTCGAACCGCGCTCAGCCGCTAACGACGGGGAGTGACTCGGGCGGCGCGCGGACCAATCAGGGGGCGGCGTTGCACGCGCGCCGACCAATGAGCGTGGGCCTTGTTGAGAATTGTGACGCCTTCTTCCGAGGGACCGAACTCTTTGTTTTTTATGACGTAAGATTTCTTCCTATTCCAGAAGATAACTTCCCATTCCGGAAGATATTTTATACCTATTCCAAGGAGACCGCTTCCTATTTCAAGTTCATTTATTAGGTACAGCCCTGTGAGCCATTCGGCTCTTGAATCGGGTGCAACCGCAACAAACAAAAGCATGAACAAGAAAACATATTAAAGTGACTATGTGACTAAGTGCAAACAGAAAATCCAAGAAAAGACAGCAAAATATTGCAGAAAAGGCACCGTACACCAACACTGTGTGCATAAATCCTAGTGGGATGCAAGTCAAACAACAACAACCACAAGAAAACTTAGATTAAGGCCATCAGTCTAACTCTGTACTACAACAAACAAACATGGCCAAACCAAAAAACTCTTCGAAAATCACCAAAATAACGCCATGAAAGCAATGAAACAGTGATCATAGGAACTGTGACCGAATTTTCACAATAAACGACATAAACAACATGTACTTCTAAACTCTGCAGCCATAGCTGGCTGCATGAGTCACTCCACAACAGTAGGAGCATCAGTCGGAGTATCAACATTTTTCAATGCACCTTTAAGATCATCACACTAAATCAAAACACAGATCATACTTTGCAGCGATCATCCGGAGCGAAACATTGTATTTTAGGCCACTGAATTGCAGTGGCAGCTAGGGGTGTACAGCTCCTCTAGAGCAGTTTTGAGTGAAGATCTCATAGATAGTGATTCAAGTTGCAGTTTATTGGCAATAGCATTCCAGACTCTGGGGGCATCAATAGCAAAGGCCCTTCCTCCAGTATTTGTACAGCAATAGGGAATGTGAAGCTGGTAAATGAGCGAAGACCTTAGGTCAAATTTGTTTTTTGAAACAGAGAGGAGATCCAGCAGGTAATCTGCGGATTTTTTTGTAAGTACATCATGAATAAATAAGATCTAATGCACAAGCCGTCGAAAATTGAGAGATGTTAAGTTTGACCCAATGTAGAGATCACAGTGGTGAGTCCTATATGGGAAGTTCAATGCAAATCTTAAGGCCGAGTGATACATTGAGTCAAGCTTCTTCAGTACAGTACTTGGGGTTGATTTATACACGATGTCACAGTAATCAAGTAGAGGCAGTACGGTAGCTTTTATCAATTCCAAACGGAACATAGGGGGGGAAGCAGTGCTTGTGTCGATATAGAAAAACAATTTTTATTTTTGTCTTTTTACCAATATAATCAATGTGATCTTCAAAATTCAGTTTTGAATCAAGAATGACCCCATGATACTTATAGATCTTGACTTGCTCTATTTGATCATTATTTAAGGAATGTAATTGGGGAAAAATAACTTCCTGCTTTAGTCCTGGTGAGAAGCATAGCACCTTGGTTTTGGAGGTATTCTGGACTAGTTTAAGAGCAACTAGCTGATGTTGTAGTTTGTTGAAATCACACTGGAGCTTAGAAATTCCTGTCCATTCCGGAAGATCACTTCTTATTCCAGAAGAAGTATTTCAATTCCGGGAGATATTTTTTACCTATTCCAGGAGACCGCTTCCTATTTCAAAAGATGATCAGCATATTCCGGAAGATTACTTCCTATTCCAGAAGAAATTCCTGTCTATTCCGAAAGATCACTTCCTATTCTAGAAGAAGTATTTCAATTCAGGAAGAGCACTTCCTGTTCCGGGAGATTGCCTCTTCATTCCGGAATGGTGCTACCTATTCCAGAAGAACATTTCCCTTATTCCAGAAGTTGCCTTTACATGCCGGAAGATATTCACCTATTTCGGAAGATGTCTTCCTATAACGGAAGAAAGTTTTGGGCGAACGTTGCAGCAACGTTGCCGTGCGTTTCAAGTTTCATTTATTAGGTGCCATGTGGCTCTGAAGTCGGGTGCAACCGCAACGAACAAAATTTGAACGGAAAACATCTTAAAGCGACGACGCGCAACAGACACATCCTGAATAAACCAGCAAATCTTCCCCCCAAAAAAACCGCTGTGTGCAAAAAATCCCAATGTGATGCAAGTCAAACAATAACAACCATAAGACAATTTAGATTACCCATATGTTTTCGAAATCACCAAAATAACACTATAAAAACAATGTAACAACAGTAATCATAGGAACTGTGATTTAAATTTTACAATAAACGATGTACTGTATATAACATGTACGACCAAACTTTGCAGCCATAGCTGGCAGCATGACACTCCCAGTGTATGATGCGTGAGTGAGTCAGTGGTAGTGTGAGTGAGTTAGTGGTAGTGTGAGTGAGTGTATGATGCGTGATTGAGTCAGTGGTAGTGTGAGTGAGTTAGTGGTAGTGTGAGTGTATGATGTGTGAGTGAGTCAGCGTACGATGAGTGAGTCAGTGTATGATGTGTGAGTGAGTCGGTGTATGATGTGTGAGTCAGTGTAAGATGAGTGAGTGTATCACGGCCTCCTCCACGCCATCACGGCTTCTCCCCCTCGGCTTCATGAGCCCCCTCGGCTCCCCCGGCTCCGTCGGCTCGCGCCTCTCGCCCACCGCACGCCATCACAGCCAAGAGGCTGCGTCGTCGCAGGAGCTTCTCCTCGGCAGAGAGATGCGGGAGCCGCTGCCTCTTGCGGGGCCGCCAAGGCCGCACGCACGCCCAGCGCCTCGTCCCTCATCCTCCGAGCCCGAAGCGTCCTCGGAGCTCGAGTTCCGGCCGGACCACGGTGAGCCGAACCCTGCCGCCGAGCTAGGCGAGACCGAGGCTCCCCGGGGCACCAGGCCGCAGTGCTGGGACTCCACCACGACCATTGTCATCCCCTAACCCCCCACACACTCATTCCCTCACTCATTCCCTCAAACACTCACCCCCTAACCCCTCACACACACTAATTTCCATCCACACTCCCTCACACATTCATTCCCTCACACATTCGCCACTCGGGTCGACTCCTCGCTCGCTATCCACAGCGAGCGAGGAGGCGGCCATCTTGCACGTGTGCAGGAATCATTCCAGTGCTTTCTATCCTCAAGAAACTTTAACTTGCGGCTCCCTTCGTTGCACGAGCCTGAAACTAAAGGCGCGTGTGTGTGTGAGAAAGAGAAGCGGAGAAATTAAAAATGTACAAACGCTTGTGTGATATATTTGAAAGAAATCGTCAATAAACCACCACCATCATCATCATCCACGAGACGACCATCACTCACGATTGCACGGACAAGAAAGTTTTCCCGCGACAAAAGTCTGCAACAGATATTCTGCGGTTCAGCCATCCCTAAAGCACGATTTCGTGACAGTGATTTTACTACGATTTAGAATGCACGAAACGGCTTAGGGGCCGTCCATAAATGACGTCACGCGATTTTGGACGATTTTTTACCCCCCTCGTCACACGGCGTCACAAAGTCGGATCCCCCCTCAAATATGACGTCATAAAGCTCTGCCCCCCCCCCCCCCTAAAATACAACATGCTTCAAATTGCTTTAAACTATTGTCATTGTAGTGCGTATTTAATGTGGCGCTGTACTCTGATGTAGGAGAAAATATCAAAAAGTCTATTTAATTAAGTAGAACGTGTTATCTATAATTTAATAATTTATTTAAAGTTGCGCATTTTGATGTGACATCACATTTCTCACCCCCCCCCCCCCCCCATCGTCACACATCGTCACAAATGTCTGATCCCCCCCCCCCGAGGTGCGTGACGTCATTTATGGACGGCCCCTTAATACGAACACATGTATACGGTACTGCGTTGATCCGAAACTAACGTCAAAAGTTAGGCCGCTACCAAATAAGCCTCGGCGAAATTTCCGAAAATAAACCCTCCATCGCCAAACCCGGACCTTAAAGCCAAACATTCGAATCGTCAGGGCCGGTGGAGAGGGCCTCGTGGTGACAGGAAAATATCGGAGGGGGGTTGAAGTGGCCAGACTCCCCCCCCCCCCCCCCCCCAAAAAAAAACTAAAACAGTTGCGAATAATATTGGCTGCGGAAAAATAAAATCCCACAAAACTACTGTTTACACGAACACGTCTACCGCAGCCCACTGGCACATACGGCATTCGAAATATATAAATTCTAAGTCTTCTTCTTCTTCCTAGCGTTGTTCCCGCTGTGGCGCAGGGTCCGCTTTTCGGCATTGTCTTCTCCATTTGGCTCAGTACAGGGCATCTTCAGGGGATGCGTTGACCATCTTCATGTCTTGCTTTATTCGATCCATCGCTTCTTCGGACGTCCGCGTGGACGGCGGCCCTCTGGTGGTGTCGTGACCCTGCCCAATGCCTACCACGCCCACTGACCCCCGCCGGAAGAAGGAGGTGGGGCCTGCACTGAAAGAGGCGGAGGCTAAACAGAAAGAGGCGGGGCTCACGCAAAAAGAGGCGTGGCCTAAAAAGGAAAGGCGCAGAGCCTCAAGAGGAAGAGGAGATGCTAAAGGAAGGGGGAGGGAGTCTAAGGAGTTAAGTATGGTGGGGCCTAGCGAGGAATTGGTAGGACCTGCAGAGGTTGAACTCTCCTGTTAATTCAAGGTAATATAGGCATAGAATCACACCCAAGTAGCAAAGCTTGGAGTGTCGCAGATGCGGTCAAGGCCAAATGGTCAGTACGTTCGCGCGCATTGTCACTTTTTCACAATAACATGTCAATTTTCACGATTTTGACGATCATCACGATATCAGGAAGGCACCTTAGCTCCGGCCACCACGCGGCGAGTAGCTACGGCTCGCATGGAAAGTCCCTCCTGGTACGAAATTGGAAAGTCGTATTAACTTCCACCGTCTGGTTCATATCCACGAAATTATGAGTATGGAAAATCGCCTCCATCCAGTGGCGTAGCGGGGTTGGGCAATGAGCCCCAGCGAAACGAATAAAAAACGAGGAATCACCCCCACGACAGACAACTCTCCGCCTCTCTGTCGCCCGCCCGCTGGGCCTGTTCCAGCCTCGCAGAGGAAGAGAGAGCGAGAGAGAATGACTCAGAGGCGCCGGAAGCAACGACGAAACGAGTGTGAAGGGCAGGAAGGAGCCACCAAGCCAGGTGGTAAACCGGTGCCAACAATTATCCAAGCTTTGCCCTCTATATATCAAGGTGTTATCGGCCAATTGATGTGTTTACACATAGGTAAGTATTTCTCCCGTCTGTATTGGGGAAACACTCTATCCCATATAGACAGAACAGATGGCATCATACCTGTCAACCCATATTGTGTACTCCGTATTATTGTAGAGGGATATTGAGTTTTCAGGTCCATAAGGCAGAAAGCTGTTTCAATATGGGCATTTTTGGTCTATTTGTTTGTGTTTCTCCCTTGTGATGGTACTTTGTAGAATGAACGTTGAGATGTATAAGGGCAACAGGGTGACCAATAAGGTCTGAATTTGTCTGTAATAAGGCAGGGAGGGCACTGATAAAGGATTGACAGGTATGAGATGGAGTCCACATTTTTGCTGTGCCGCCATCTCCTGGCAGAGCCAGGGTACGGCTCTTCCTCGACCCCCACGGGAAGGGAGGTGTCACACATCGCCTCTGTCTGCGGTGATCCACCAACCCTCTCTGCTGCTGCCTCCACAGCGCTCGATCACTGCAGGCAGCCACGTGCAGCAGCAGCAGCGTAGCCACCGCCGCCACCGCCGCCGCCACCACCACCGCCACCACCACCACCCCGGCTAATATCACAATATGAGGCTGACCGATCCAGGTAATATCTAAGCAAAGGCGTAAGTCAAGCTACGATAATATTCACAGCAAAGCGACGCGTGAAAATTAATCTTCTACGTGCACACACTTAGCTTCACAACAACGTTATACATGTCTAACCTTTTTCTTATGACATTTGCTACTTTTTTGGTTAATTGGGTTTCTTTATTCTATGTAAAATATTTATTTTAGATGTAATATCTCTATTTCGAATACTTTAATGTGTCCATGTCTCTATGTGGGTCTGTGTTTACGTAAATATATTGAAGTCTGTGGGTCTGTATGGGAATCTGTGGGTCTCTATTGGAATCTGGGCATCTCTATGCGAGTGGTTTGTGCGATATGAATTGTCTGCCGATCTCTTTTCTTCGAAATTTTGGAGTGGAACTGATGAGCGCACGTCGTCTCACCAGGACCACAACCTTGAAATGAGATGTACATATTATTTAAGGTCAACTGGTAGCCCACAACGCACAGGCAAGTAAGCCACCACTGCCAACAATTAGCCTAACTCTCTGGCCCTCGATATATTAACGTACCTGTCAACCCATACGGTTTACCCTGTATTCCTGTACAGGGAAATTGAGTTTTCAGGTCCATACGGCGTACAGCCGTTTCAATACGGGCAAAACGATTTTGTCTGTTTGTGTTTCTCCCTTATGACGGGACTTTGTAGGATGAACGTTGAGATTTGTAAGGGCACGGGGTGACCAATACGGTCTGAATTGGTCTGTAATAAGGTAGGCACTGATAAGGGGTTGACAGGTTTGGATTAAATAAGCGCATTTTGGAGGGAACTGGAGCATGTGAAGGAAGCTCACGTATATTAGGGAGTGACACTAAATCCCACACGGAATGGACGGATGACGGCATGCACGTCCGTAACTTATGTACTGGGTGATTAATATGATTTGTCGAGCATTATTATATCACACAAATTGTATTTGGTATAGTTGCGGTATTTGACCCAATTCGCATTTTCGCCAACGGTAATGAGAAATTACTACTGCCGATCACACATTTCTAAAACAAAATATGTAAATGTAAAATTGGCTTGCTTAGAAAATGTAACGAAACTGAAAGCTTTCCTGTTGTTTAGATATATGCATCGTTTTTAAATGCACGTCACAAACGAACACACAACAGAGGTCGCAACCGGGTACCCGATACCCGTACCCTACCCGATACCTGGCTACCTGTACCCGGCCGGGTACGGGTACCTGTTTGCGACCCTGGTGCGGCCGGGTACGGGTACGGGTAGACCGTGAGTCACTGGTGAGTAACTGTTTGTCACTCATTTCCCAACGTCTTGTCTCTTCTCACAATTCAACTTCCTAGAATCAACCCACCCGCGCCTGCAACATGGCTTCATCCCAGAGGTCGCAATCAGGTACCCGATACCCGTACCCGGCCGGGTACGGTTAGGGTACGGGTGCGGCCGGGTACGGTTAAGGAATCAAAACCCGTTTGCGACCTCTGACACACAATCCTGCCACACAAGCCACGATACACTTGGAAGAGTTGGGGGGGCGGGGCTGGTTGGGGGTGGGCTCAATTTTGACACACGTGGGGAGCTGTAAGCCCCTCCCACGTTACTTTTACATAGCCACGGCCACCCAGCTGCTGGCCACGCCCACAGCTCCACGTAGCTCCGCCCACTGCTCAGGTGGCGCCACCTACCGCTCGCATCTTTAACTCAGGAGGTTTTCTATGTGTTCAGACAAAAATGAAAACTTGGGGCGGGCGGGGGAGGGGATAGTGGGTGGGGGTGTGACACTGGAAGTGGATAATGTGGCCAGCAACACACAGGAGCGAACCCTCTTAACGACCAGCCCAATGTGTAGTGTATAGTGTAGTGTATAATATCGGAGTATAAAGTGTAGTGTATAGTAGTGTAGTGTATATTAGTATAGTGTATAGTGGTGTACAGTAGAACTCCTCTTAACGACCACACGTGTTAATGACGAATCACATAACGACGGACCTCCATAGAGCCGAATGTGTAGTGTATAGTGTAGTGTATAGTCGTGTATAGTGTCGTGCATAGTAATGTAGTGTATAGTATTGTAGTGTATAGTAGTGTAGTGTATAGTGTAGTGTATAGTAGTGTAGTGTATAGCGTAGTGTATAGCGTAGTATAGTGTATAGTAGTGTAGTGTATAGTAGTGTATAGTGTAGTGTACAGTAGTGTAGTGTATAGCAGTGTAGTGTATAGTAGTGTAGTGCCTCCATAGTGCCCAATGTGTTCGCTTACCGATCATTCCCCTGTTAACGACGGGCTGTTGTATGTACAGTAAATATGTATTAGTGCATTTAATAACCATGTTTATTTTAATATTACGTGTTTACAATGTTGTTAGTATATTTACGTTTTATTATCCATTGTTTAAATACGATAAAGTACGTTTTTTTGTGTGAAAATGGGGTAACTTTCGATGCTATTGGAACGAATTAAGCATTTCACGTGTATTTACTATACTCGCTTAACGACCAAATCGCTTAACAACTGGTTCCGTTGAACCAATTACCATCGTTAAGAGGGGTTCTACGCACCCTAAGTGAGTACAGTATGTTTATGAATACGCAACGCTCGTAACCTAGGTTGTCTCGCCAGCGCAGTCATTGACAACGTCGCTGCCGTGTGCTCATTTACTCTCAAGTCAAGCGAACCGAGGCGGGAATGACGACTTCGGGTCAGGGGTCAACCGGACAACCCACGTAGCCGGCATTGTGGCTCAGTACAGGACAAGGCGAGCGTCAGGGCGAGGTTTTCGCGTCTTGTTTCGCCCTCCCCTCTTCCTCGGCTTCCATCTCGGTCACAGCTTGGTGTCGCCTGCGTCCAGGGCGCTTGAATCGCGTTGCGAAAGATCCTGAGCCACGGAGGTCAGAGGGTCGGGCCGGATCACGTAGCTAAAACGAAAGATAACAAAATAATTCATCATTGTCATCACGATCCATGGGGCAGATAGCCCATAGGTGGGTGTCCCCTTCACATATCGTCATTTTGTTTTCGCTTTTCTCTGCCTTGTGGCAATATGCTCAAGTAGTAGCCACATTCTACTGGCACCAATCTCTTATGTCATCAAGGCTTTCTCTGGTAGGTCTTCCTCTCTTTCCACAAAATAATTACAAACTTGTAGCGACTGGCTTTCCAAGCTTATTTTGATTAACCTGACGCAGTTTCAGAAGAGCAACTTCATATAACCTATTGATCTAACTTTGCTTGTGAGAATTATCCAAGTTACCACCAGTGAGTGAGCCAAAGTGAGAATTGGTGCACGGTTTAACGCTTGTACACCACGTGACAATTACATTTCTTTGGCTATGTTGGGTGGCGGAGGGTCTTAACACACAGATTTGGTCAGATCATTTCAAATTTGGTCAGATCAAATTGGTCAGGCCCTAACTGTAAAATCGATTCTGAATCAAGACAACAATGATTCAATCTTCTGCAAAGCTTTGGGGCGACAACCCTAACCGCATCCGTACACAAACCATGGCAGCGGCAAATGCAGAGGCTTGACGCACAAATGTAAAATGTAAAAACTCTCCGATCGGTGTGCGAAGAGACCGTGGTCACCACCCTGGGAGAATATTAACGTCGACTCAAGGCCCGATTTCACAAACGAGGAGAAGGAGAAGAAGGAAGGATGCAGGCAAGGGAGTTAATGATGACGTCACCCTGCTGCTGCTCTATATAAGAACGGGAGACACAGGAGAGCCTCACCATTCTGGCGAATTGCCCGATGATGCTGGTTGCAATTACCAGCGAAACGTCGTACTCAAATTGTAAATGTTGTGGCTTCAACACACCGGTGGGCTAAAGCAGTGAACTATTTGTCTTTGTCAACGTGACACATTTTTACTGATTGGCCGTGTCGGGTGGTGGAGGGTTACGACACATTTATAAACGCGATCTAAACCCAAAAACGTTGATTATGAATAACATTGGTCGCGAAAGCCTACGTGTTAAAGGGAGAGAGGGTTCATCACAGCAGCGATGCACTCCACTCCACGATGCCTGTACGCAATGACCCTGGCTCACTAAACCACCTCGATGTAACACAACAGCCATCGCTCTGCATCAACTTGAGCCGCACGACGACGCGCGAGGCGGCGGGGCGTGTGGGCGGGTGGCGAATCGAGAGACGGGAGCCGTTCCGCTCCGTGGGCCACGTCATCGGCTCTCGGGCGTGGGCCCCGCAAGAGGTTGGGGGGCGGGGTAGGCGGAACGCCGCCACTCACACGATGTCGTTGAGCTCCAGCGGCGTGTCGGGCGGCGGGTTGACGAGCACGTACGACAGCATGTTCTCGTTGTCTCCCATCTCATCTGAAGCGACACGGCAGCGTCTGTTCGAGCCCGTTGCGTAATTCACGACCGGCGCCACATGGCAGCATAATCGCTGCTGGCAAGCGCAAAGGCTTGGGTGGCTTGGCAATGAGCGGGCGGTTACTCGCCGGCTCGTCACCGTCCACATTTGGCACCACAAAATGTACACAGTCGGGATGAGTGAGCCGAGAGGAGGCCCAGGACCGGCTGAGATAATCACCACCGATATTAGCCCTGGCTGGGAATCGAACTCAGGTCTCCAGGTTCGTAGTGCGGTGCGCTAACCGCTGACGTGCTTCAAACACGAGTAGAAGGATTCACTTCAATGTTCTTTGACTGCAGTTCACTCAACACGAGCCTGCCACGAGTAGTTTTATCACTGCAACATTTGTTTGTATGTTGAACTTTTTTCACACCGTACGTAGCCGACCGTGCTACTAATCGGAGGTGCAGGCGAAGAATAACAAACTAAACACCAAAATCAGTTTATCAAATGTTTAAGATTCAAAAATTAACAGTTCCATTGGCTTCCTAATATCAGGAGGAGCGTTCCAGACGGTCCATAAAGCGCATCTGAAAGCGCGTGACGCAGTGACCTTCCCTGGCTACAATCACACAACGCGCATGTGGTCAGAAAACCGACGACACAAGCATCCGCCACGCCTATCTGTAGATAAAACCGATTTGGCAAAGACGGCGCTCGTTCAAAAACCGGACGGACATTTAATCACAAATCTAACTACTTTTTCTCATGACATTTGCTACTTTTTTGGTTAATTGGGTTTCTTTATTCTATGCAAAATATTTATTTCAGATGTAATATCTATATTTCGAATACTTTAATGTGTCCATGTCTCTATGTGGGTCTGTAGATTCCCTATACAAGTCTGTGTTTACGTAAATATATTGAAGTCTGTGGATGTGTATGGAAATCTGTGGGTCTCTATTGGAATCTGTACATCTCTATGCGAGTGGTTTGTGCGATATGAATTGTCCGCCGATCTCTTTTCTTCGAAATTTTGCAGCGGCGCCTGCCGCCCCCTCCACGCCCACCCCTACCGTATCCCTGCGTGGGCAGGCCCAGGTGGCGCATGCGCCCGCGCACCAGCTCGCCCAGCTCCTGCCTCTCCGAGCGCCGGAACAGCGCCATGCGCTGCCAGTTGATGCAGTCGGCGGCGCGGCGAGACGACCCCGGCCGGCCACCGGCGCCGCCGCCGCCCCCCGCTCCTCCGCCCCCCCCGCCGCTGGCGCCGCCACCGCCGGCGCCGCCGGCGCCGCCGCCGCTGCCGCCCCCGAGGCTGGAGACGCTGACGCGCGGGCTGCAGCGCGTGAAGCGGCGGGCCCACTGCAGGCTCTTGCGGCGCAGCAGCGGCACATCGGAGGGGGGCTCGGAGGCCGGCGAGCGGGGCAGCGAGCGCTCGCACGGGAGGGTTGGTACCGGGAGGCTGAACCGGCGGCAGCCGCCGCCGCCGAGATTCAGCAGCGAATCCTGAGGGTGGTCTCCGCCGCCCCTGTCGAATGTGTCGTAGCCGCCCATGGACACCCGGGACTGCGGGAAGGGGGCGGTGGGTGAGCGGGGAAGAGGGCAGCCGTGGTGGGGGGAGATGTGGGGGGTAGACACGGAGTGATGGGAGGTGGGCTACCTCTGAAATCCCTTCTTTCAAGTGACGCTCTGGTCCACTCACACCGCACCAGGTACTTATTTGAGGCTGAGTCGACCTAAGCTCAGGACTGTTGCAGATAACCGTCGCTGGTAGTGGCTGTGAGCGGGAATAGAACCCGGTTCGCCGGGCTCGCAGTAACAGTGCGCCACCCGCTACACTACGGCTCCCCACACGCTCACTCCGCAGAACGGGCAGAACGCACAAACTCCAAGTGGAGAGAGGCGCCTTGGCCTCGGGAGTCGAATCCAGGCTCCCTGTTGCTGCGAGGCGCGAGCATCGCCGCCGCGCGCCGCCTGGCTTAGACGCTTCGTCGATTCACGCGACCACCTCACCCGGACCGACCGTTGGAAGGACGAGGGCATAGGTAAGAAGGGAGATCACTTACGTTTGACTTCATTATCATCTGGGACTGCGAAATAAAAACAACAACAACAAATCACGACCGTCGACAGGACGTCAACTTCTGTGAGATGGCAGCAGCAGCAAAAGCAGCAGCCTGTGGGAGTCTCGTCGAGTCCATGGGGTCATTCTCTTAGTCTGAATAGTAAATTCGTTTTGCTTTGGGTATGATCGCCCGCAGCAGGTCACACGTCGAATGTTTTACGACAGCCCTCCAGGACCCGACGGAGCCGATCGAATCAAGTTGTCACGTACTCGACATCATCACCATCCTCGTCGTCGTAGAACTGATTTTTGTGTTTATTTTTATGTCCTTCGCCCGCACCTCCGATTATCACGGTTGGCTACGTACGGTGCGAAAGAAGTTCAACATACGGTACATACGTTGTCACTTTCACCATCGTTATAGTCTTCATTCATCATCACCACCGTCGTCACCATCATTACCATCATCACCATCAACATCGTACTGATTCATCACCACCATTACCATTGCCACCATCGTCATCGTCACCATCATCACCATCAACATCGTCCTGATTCGTCATCACCACCATCATCACCACCATCATCACCACCATCATCGTCGTCACCATCAATACCATCAACATTGTCGTGATTCATCATCACCCCCACCATCATCACCATTACCAACATTGTCCTGATTCATCATCATCATCATCGTCGTCGTCGTCACCATCATCACCACCAACATCGTCCTGATTGATGACCACCATCACAGTCACAATCATTGACATCGTCGTCGTCGTGGTGGTGGCCAGCATCATGGGTGCACCTGCCTCGGCCATGGGGAAGTCGTGCGACTCGGTGCGGAAGATGCCGATGGGGATCTCTCCCGAGGAGGAGCACAGCTTCTGGTAGAGCCGTCCGTACGTGCGGATCCACAGGTCGCCCTCCGTCACGCGCACCTGGCAACAGACGCCACCTCCCTCGGCTCGTGCATGGTAGCGAGCGAGCGCGCGTGAGAGTGAGCGAGTGTGCGTGAGAGTGAGTGAGTATGTGTGAGAGCGAGCGAGTGTGCGTGCGTGAGAGCGAGCGAGTGTGCGCGAGAGCGAGCGCGTGTGCGAGTGAGTGAGTGTACGTGAGAACGAGTGTGGAAGCGAGCGTCAGAGCGAGCGAGTGAGCGAGCGTGAAAGCGAATGAGCGAGCGTGGAAGCGAGGCTGCGTGCGTGGGCCGCCGTTACTGCCGAACCCTGGCGGCGGAAATTCCACATTCCCACGTCGCGGTCGACGTTTTTCTCTGCTCCTTGCGGCATGAACGACGGCAAACGGTACGCGACAAAGTCTGCCGATGTGGAAATAACGGGGAAGTAATAATAATCTGCAGATCTTTCTCAATCCGCTGCTGGATCATGAACATTTTTTTGTTGATGGGGAAGAAATCTAAGGGAGGCCGACGTGAGGACGCGATGCCGTAGGGGTCGATACGTACGGCGCAGAGATAGCCGGATCCGGGGGTGGTGTCCAGGCCCAACAGCAGCCTCATGATTGGGATCATGAAGTCCTTCACGTACGACTGTGACAAACAAACAGGGTCGCAGTCGAGAAGTCAGAGTGCCCAAGGCGGTTGATGCCGCCGCCACCACCGCCTCCAGCGCCGCCATCACCACCACAGTTACCACCACCATCACCACCGCCACCACCATCATCAAGACCTCCGCCACCATCGCCACTACCGCCGCCGCCACCATCACCACCACCGTCACCACCACCATCAGCACCGCCACCACCATCGCCGCAACCATCGCCACCACCATCACCACCACCACCACCGCCACCATTACCGCCGTCACCATGACCACCACTGCCACCACCACCATCACCACCGTCACCACCACCATCACCACCACCATCGCCACCACCGCCGCCGTCACCATCACCACCACTGTCACCACCACCATCACCGTCACTACCACCACCGTCATCACCACAGCCACCACCGCCACCACCAATGATGATGATGATGATGAGAGGAGGGAAGAGAGGGACAAGAGAGAAGGAGCGAGTGGCAGCAGTTAGCTGCACGGAGCGGGCAGTGTCTGTTTTCAGAGTGGGCGGTGATTGTGGGCTTGAGGGGAGGGGTTCAGAATTGGTGGGGGGCGGGGGCACGCACAGCAGTCACGTGGTGTACGGGAGGCTCCAGCCGGTTTAGAAAGAGAGACAGGGAGATTATCGCGAAATTAAAAGGTACATAATTCATTTTTTTGTTAGTTTTTTTGCAGAAAGGTCGTCTGCGATGGGTCACCTGGTAGAGCAGCGTGTCCAGCATGCTGACGCTGAACACGCGGCCCGCGGCGAACGGGAGGCGGAACATGTAGGGCAGGTTCGAGCCCTTCTCGCGCTCTTGCTGGGAAAAGCAAATGGAAAGAGAACACGCGCAGAATAACGGTCGGTGGCGGGTCCCAGTAGACGTGCAATGGTCGGGCCAACGTCGGGCCAACGTCGGGCTCACGTTGGGCTAATGTTGGTCCGACGTTGCATCAACGTTGCGCCAAAGTTGGTTCAACGTCGGGCTACGTCGGGCCAACGATGGGCTAATCTTGACCCAACGTCGGGCTCACGTTGGGCCAACGTCGGGCCAACGTTGGGCTCACGTTTGGGCTCACGTTGGCCCAATGTTACCGTGCTTAGTGGGGTAGTGCTAAGCGTTAAGCAATGTTTAGCAACAGAGTAGGGGCCCAAATAGCTGCAGGGGGCTCGGGATTCTTGAAACAAATTAATACGAGTGAAACAAATACCGCCACCACCGCCACCACCACTGCCACCACCATCACCACCTGGACCTCCACCACCATCATCATCTCCACCACCACCATCACCACCCCCGTCACCACCACTACCATCACCGCCGCCACCACCAGCAGCGCCCACCTTCTCCAGCTTGGCGAGAGCCAGCGAGTAGCTGTCCTTGGCCCGGAACTGCATGAAGCGCATGTTCGCCGGGTGTGTGAGCTCGGTGATGATGTTCAGCCCCGGGAAGAGCCTGCAGTGAACAGGGAAACAACAACACTCCATTGGAGCCACCACTCTCATGGTTCTCTATAACTCAATGCCAAGAAACGATCCCAATCACGAACATGAGAACGCCGCCACTGATCATGTCGATGATGATGTTCATTACAAGGATTAGCATGGTTGGCTACCTACGGTTAAACATACATACATGATGATGTCGATGATAATGATGTTGATGACGATGAGATATCAATGATGATAATGATGATGTCAATGATAATGAAGATAATGCTAATGTGGATAATGATGATGTCGATGAAGATGTCGAGACATCGATGAAGTTGATGATGATGTCGATGATAATTATAATGATGTGGATAATGATGATGTCGATGAAGGTGACGAGATGTCAATGATATCGATGATGATGTCGATGATGATGTTGATAATAATAATAATGATGTCGATGAAGATGACGAGACATTGATGATGTCAATGATGATGATATCGATGATAATGATGACGACGATGATGTCGATAATGATGATGTTAATGAAGATGACGGCGATAATGTCAATAACGACGATGTCGATAGAGATGAGACGTCAATAATGTCGACAATAATCTTGGTGGTGTCAACGATGACAATGGTGACAATGAAGAAGATGACGATGATGATGTTGGTGTCATCACGGCCGCTGGTAAGGCCCCCCCACCGGAACATGGTCTGCACGTTGACGATGGTCTTGGCGTCGGCCATGTACTCCTCCTCGGCGCTCATCGTGCTCTCCTTGTCCACCACGACGATGTTGTCCGCGCGGATGATGCCGCACTGCAGCAGCGTGTCCAGGCTGCCGGGTCGCCGACAGACCGCCGGACAGAGAGAGGAGTCGGGTGAGAGAGAGAGAGAGAGACGTTTTTCCACCGGCACAGCCGAGCCGAGCCGGCGTGTCGCCCTCTCGGCACCGGTGATTTTCCCACTCGGGCCTCCTCTTTCCCGTCCGGACCCTGGAGCCGGATCGCAACATGTCACCTAATTTGTCTCGGGGCCAAGCAGGGCCAGGGGCGGGGCTGATGACTCGTTTCACTGCGTGTGTGTGACGTCGGAGGGTACGCGGTGATGACGCGGGCATTACCGCTTCACCCACACGCTTCTCTGCTCGCTCACCGCGTCACCCACGGGCGTCTCCGCTCGCTCACCGCGTGTGTGTGTGTGACGCCGGTAGCTTACTTGTCAATGGAGCCCACCATGTAGTAGACCATTGGGAAGTAGCAAATCGCCTCCAGAAAGCTCGACTCGGGCCTAGCAGGAACAAATGCAACACAGACCAACAACTAGGCAACATCTACATGACGATGAGAAGAACAGATTCACGGTTTGCTGAGCACAGGCCCAAAGGCCCAAAATGGTAAAGTGGCCAGCGAGAAGCGGCACCGTTGAGGATGTGTTGCAAACGAGTGTTGACGCACTGCTTGAACTGAGCGGAGGTCATTATCGTAAGATCTTGGTGAACTGGCGAGCGAGTGGGCGGGAGGGTGAGTGGGTGAGTGAGCGAGCGAGTTGTGACGTTGGAACCTGCAGTATGGTGGTGGTGCTGCTGATGGTGGTGGTGGTGGTGGTTGAACGCGGTGTAGATGAGACAAAGCAGCCGGTGTCTGCTAGAACGAGCCCTCAACACAGCTGGTGAGGAATCCCGCGAACCACGGTAGTATCGACAGAAGAGTGATAAGGATGCAACTGACTGCCAGTGAGCGAGCGAGTGACCGGAGCGAATCAGCGAGTGCGGTATCATCAAGCTCTATTCTCAATCTGGCTGAACAAAAGCTGTTTAGGCATGCGGTGGCTGGACATGCGGGCTACATGACCCAGCCGACGCAGCCTTGCCTGCCGGAGGAGCTCACCGATGGGACTTTGTCCAGATCTTTCAAGGATTTGTGAGCTCCTCTCGATGCTACACCAAAAATGTGACAGCAGCAGCAACACGGTTTCAACCTCAGCCAACTGACGACGATGATGGTGATGATGACGATTACAAACTAATCTAAACTTTTTATCGCACCAGGTATGGCCCACTAAGCTACACAGCTCTTTTTCAGAAGCGACCTGGCCACAAATGATAGCTCAACGAAGGGGATTATCACGTGGAAATTTATAGCAGCTAAATACTCTGAACACGTGATGTTGATTCTAAATGTGGAGGGAAAAACCGGAGGATAATGAGAAATAAGTATAACCCGTAAAAACAAAGTTTTTCACTATAAATCCTTTATATGCGTGGCAGCGAACTTAATATAAAGGATTTAAAAATATATTCGCCTGTGGAGGACGCGGGGATCGATCCCGCGACCTTTGGCATGAGAAGCGACGGCGCTACCAACTGCGCTACTCCGCCACGGCCTGTGGAGGGGTTACGCTCTGGGCTCTTATACTGTGACGTTCAACCAAAGCCAAGAATGAGTTCTATTTGAATATATGTAAAATAATTTTTTTTTGCCTAAAAAGTGTAAAATTTTGGGAATTTTTTTTCACGAACATTAATTGTCTGGCACAACGAGTCTGTGTGGAAAATGTCAGCTCGATTGGATCATGGGAAGTGGGTTAAAAAACGACCGAAAGATTTGCACGGTCGTAAGCAAGCAAGCACGCAAGCACGCAAGCAAGCAAGCAAGCATGCGAACTTAATATAAAGGATTTAAAAATCCACGCGACCACAGGGAGAGAGATACACGCAAATTCCAAATATACAGCAGCAGGCATCAGGGTCGGGATCGAACCCACGACCTCCTGCATACCCGGCGATGTAGTTAACATCTCTTAGCCACCGCATTTACGAAGGATTTTTTTTTGATCAGCGAAACGTCCAGCGATGCTCACGGGTTGTCGAGCAGGAGGATGATCGGGTTGAGCTCGCGGCGTGGCCTGTAGTAGGCCCGGAGAGGCACGATGAAGTTGTAGAGGCCGTTACCGGCGGTCTCCGCCGACACGATGATCAGTTTGTTCTTGAAGTTGTAGGCCTGAGCATCTTCGTGGCTGTTGTGTTCGCACGCCTGACGCCCGTGCACAGAGAGCAACACAGAAAGCAACGCGGAAAAGGTCAGCGTGACAGAAATGCTACGGATGAACGTCATCGCTACACCACCCCCCGCCCCGCGGCGTACGTGCACTGAACTTTTTTCGCAGAATGTAACTCGGTTCGGGATGAGTTCACCGAGAGGAGGCCAGGGACCGGCTGACATGATCACCACCGATATTAGCCCTGGCCAGGGAATCGAACTCGGGTCTCCCGGGTTCGTAGTGCGGTTGCACTAACCACTGTCGTGCTTTGAATACGAGTAGAGAGATTCGCTTCAATGTTCTTTGACTGAAGTTCACTCGACACGAGCCTGCCACGAGTAGTTTTTTTTGTATAACTGCACGTTTTGTATGTACGTATGTACGTTGAACTTCTTTCGCGCCGTACGTAGCCGGCCGCGCTAATCGGAAGGTGCGGGGAAAGGACGAACAAACGAACACATAACAAGAAGCGGCTTTAAGGAAATGAGTTTCGTCAATCTAAATGCTGATTTAAAGTGCCACAGCTCTCAGCGGCCTCCTAAGAGGCGTTCCAGACGGCCGCAGAAGCGCATCCCGAAGCGCCGCTGTCTTCGTTCGATAGCCAAAAAGCTGCGAGCATCGCCGGAGTTCGCGTGGTGATGGGTTCACAGCTCCTTGACGAGATCAGCGAGGCAGTTGCGGTAAATTGTTTGTGGGTGCAATGAGTGGCCACTTCATCATCTCGGCTCGACCTCGGCGTGAGCCGCGGTCTGATCGTGTGACAAAAAAAGAGGAAACGCAGCCGAATTGCACACCGGCCATCCTCATCACCCGCACTGGCGGCCAGTTGAACAAATGATTGGGGTGACAGGCTGTGCGCATAGCCGTGAACAGACTGTTGGGGCAAGTGCTGTCAGCGAGCACCAATGAAGGTCGGCACATCACACGCGGAGGTGGGTGTCCAGCACCCACGCCCGGCCGCCTTTGTCTTCCCAGTGGCGATGTTTATACATTGTAGCAGGTCGACCTGGGGGATGCCCAGGACCGGATCAGATAAGCGGTGTTGGCCGTGAGTGGGAATCGAACCCGAGTCGCCAAGTTCGTAGCACAGAGCGCTAACCGCTACGCTACCACTCCCCGAATTCATAGACACACACACACATACACACGTGTGTATGTGTGTTACAGTCTGTGCGGCCCCCCTTCTTAAAGAGGGGGACCACCAGGGCATCCTTCCAATCCTGTGGACCCATCCAGGGGTCCAGACTTATTATGATGTATTTTAGGGCAGTCTGTGCACGAACGCCACCCGCAGCATTTCGCTTGGGAGATTATCTCTGCCCGGTGCCTTTCCTGGTCTCAGACTCTGGATCGCCTTGAGCAACGGTCCCCAACCTTTTTGGCACCAGGGACCGGTTTCGTAGAAGACAATTTTGTCACGGACCGGGATGGAGGGGGGGTCATCATTGGGTCTTTCCCCCTTTTCAAGAAGCTCTCCAGCGACGTTTGTTTTTTACTCATTTTGGCTACTAGGGGTTAGCAGCTTGTGTTTGTTTTTCACTCATTTTGGCCAGGGGCTAGCTTGTGGACTTACCAACACTGTGACTGAGACAAGTGCGCAGTGCGGGAAAGAGGCGCAAATGGAAGTGGTGAATAAAATAATGCGCGGACTCACCGCTCACTTCCTGCTGTGCGGCCCGGTTCCTAACAGGCCACGGACCGCTACCGGTCCGTGGCCGGGGGTTGGCGACCCCTGGTCTTAAGTACTTCCTCAAAACATGGCACCTCAGCCAGGAAAATCACAGGGAGTGACTACTTCTTCCAATATTTGAGGCACGGCAGCTTCAGCAGGGTCATCCCCACTTTGCCCCATGATGTTTTCCAGACTGAGGGATTTCCCCTCCCCCAATTCCTCAGAAATGCTCAGCAAATTTGCAAACCTGCTCCTGGAGGTCGGAGATTGGATCATCATTCTTTCCCCTAATGATGACTCTATCCCAAGGGGCCACTTTACTCACCCACCCACTCACCTACTCACCCACCCACTCAGCTACTCATCCACTCACCCACCTACTCACCCACTCACTGACCTACTCACCCACTCACCTACTCATCCACCCACTCACCTACTCACCCACCCACTCACCCACCCACTCACCCACTCATCCACCCACTCACCTACTCACCCACTCACCTACTCACCCACCCACTCACCTTCTCACCCACTCACTCACCTACTCACCCACCCACTCACCTACTCACCCACCTACTCACCCACCCACTCACCTACTCACCCACCCACTCACCTACTCACCCACCCACTCACCTCACCCACCCACTCACCTACTCACCCACCCAATCACCTACTCACCCACCCACTCACCTACTCGCCCACCCACTCACCTACTCACCCACTCACCTACTTACCCACCTACTCACCCACCCACTCACCTACTCACCCACCCACCTACTCATCCACCCACTCATCTATTCGCCCACCAACTCACCGCCGCTGCGCGATGTTCGAGACTCTTCACAGACATTCAACGAGTTCAGTAGAGAATGCAAGACAGAAGCGTTTACGAAGAGCCCACGCGTGATAACCTAAGTTGTGAAAGTTGCGCGTTTATAAATGTCCTCACCAACCCTCGTGTCGCACGCTCAGGGAGGGGGGGAGAGGGAGGGAGGGAGGGGGAAGGGAGGAAAAGAGGGAGGTATGGGGGGAGGGAGGGAGAGAAGAGGGAGGTATTGGAGGAAGGGAGGGGAGGAGGGAGCGGGGGAGGGAAAGAGGGAGGGTGGGTGTAAGGGAGTGAAAGCGCGAGTGAGGGGGGGGGGCATGGGGGGAGGAAGGGGAGGGGGCCACCGCACCTGGTCGAGACGCAGGCAGCAGGGCGGCACCTTGCCCAGCAGGAGGTGGCACAGGGTGGGGGAGCTGCCGATGTAGGGGAAGCTCATGGGGTAACCCTTGATCCACCTACGGGGTTGGGTGGGTGGCGGGGGGATCGGATCGCAGCGTGAACGAGCGGCTCAGGGCTGGGTTGCGTGTCGGGTAAACGGCAGCGCAGTGGTCAGTGGAGTTGACGTTCGAGTTGATGTATTTTGTACAAATATTTTTTTTAAGATTGAAAACGCAATTCTTTAGAACTGCTTTTTGTGCTCCGTTTGTTGTCCTTCCCCCACATAACTCCGATTAGCACGGTTGGCTACGTACGGTGCGAAAAAAATTCAACATATCTACATACTGCCCAGAGACGAACACTACCCATAGACTCAACACTGCACCTTCGATTAGCACGGTTGGCTATGTACGGTGCGGAAGAAATTCAACATACGCACATGCACAGCGACATACATAGTGAGACGTCGTGAGACGCTGACAAGAGTGGACCCTGGGACGTTCGTCCGCCGGCAGGGGGCGACGATTGTGACGGCTGCTGCTGCCGCTGCTGAGTATGAAATCCCAACTGAGAAAATTGGGATTCACAAACGTGAACCCTGAACGTCGGGTGGCACGGGGATCTTTCACGTCCCGCTGTGAGCGAAGCGGACGGGCGCGCGGTCGTGGTCGTGGTGGTGGCGACGTTTTCACGGTTGACGCGCACACACCGCAGTACTAACCAGGGCGGCCGCTTGGAATTGATACCACGAACCATAACCGTATTTATTTTTTGTACCTAATATCACCTCCACTGAAGGGGAGGGGGGTGGTGTCAAAACATCGTACAATGAAATAAAATGCAAAGACAAGAAAATAATGCTAAAGTAAAAGCCATGAGAAAACGGTGGCCCGTGCACTCCCCTTCCTAAACACAGCGGAGCTCCTAGCGTGCCGGGTCACCGCCCCCAAGGCATTGCAGATATTCGGGGCAACGCTTGAGAAGGCGCGACACCCCACCCAGCGTCGAGGGCAGGAGGCGAGGCTGTGAGAGGAGTCGTAAGGTCCTGCTCTGAAGAGCGTGCGAGAGGAGGAACCCATAGTCTTGGCTCTTTCGGTAAAGTCACGTTGATGTCCGTGACTTTACCAAAAGAACCAACAATACGAATTCCTGCAGTCACGAAAGTTTTAAGTCAGAATAGGAACCCCTCGTCGTCGTGTGGCAGATCAGTCGGGCACGCCGGGTGCATTGGCCCAAGACCACGCAGAGATTCAGAGCCCGCAATGGCTAACTTGGACTCCGCAGCGAGCCTGCGAACGCGCTCCGGCGAGCGATTGGAGTCGGCTCTCCCGGGCCACGGCGAGCGGCAGCGGCGAAAATGCGCAATCGAATTGCATTTTCATCGCGTATCCTCACCCGCTTGCGTATTAGCAGTGCAATCGCCCGATATCCGTGCAGTGTTCCCGTAACTTGGTTGTAATCGCACGAGAATCGGTCCGAAACACAAGCTGCCCCAGCCGACCTCTGTAACAGGGGATTCATCATTTCTCGTTGATTCGTGTTGGTGCGATAATTTCGGTTTTCGAGAGCGACAGACAGAGAGACGCAGCCGTTGTTATATTTTTCACGCCGATTGAAGCTTCCTCCATCGCCGTTCTATATCTTCCCCGTTTTTTTGCTCCTCTCATTTCCGAAAGCCGGGTCACACTCACGGACACGAGAACCATTACCCGGCCTCTGGAGTACCCCGTCCTGGCTCGAGCAAACAATCAACTCGGCTTGCTTCGGAAAACGCGGACCGCCCGTGCCACCCGTTCAGCCTCCCGCACCAAGCGACGCGGTCAAGTGTGGACGGAGACATGGAGGGGGGCCAGGGTGGCCGCCTCCATGCCTCAATGACGATGACATCGATGATGTTGATGACAACGATGACGATGATGACAACGACGACGATAACAATGATGACAACGATGATGATATTCTTGGTTCTTTCGGTCAAGTTACGTATAAGGGAAATAATAAAATTATAAAAATACAAATAATAAAATAAAATTCTCACGACGTTTTGGCAACAACGCAAGCAGCCGTCCTCAGGTGAAGAAACCGAGCTGTCTTTCCGACAGCTCGGTTTTATTTTTATTATTTTATTATTTCCCTTCTACGTGACTTTACCCAAAGAACGAAGAATATGAATTCCTGCAGTCACGAAAGCTTTCAATCAAGACTAATTAATACTAATATTTGATTTAAAGATTTCGTGACTAATAAAATAACAATAAAATTCATCTTCTTGGTTCTTTCGGTAAAGTCACGTAGAAGGGAAGTAATAAAATAATAAAAATAAAACATAATAAAACAATTCTCACGACGTTTCGGCCACAACGCAAGCAGCCGTCCTCAGGTGAAAACCAGGTCCGTCGAGGCGACAGAGTCTGAATGAAACAGCACACGAGCTTGGAGCATATATATAAGCTGGGCGCATTGACAAATGAATTTGCATATCAAAAGGAATTTAGCATATTTGTGGCAAATGCAGGAATGTGATTAGTACTGCATATGCATGTGCATTATGCAGGATTAACAGCATCAAAGGGAGCTGCAGTTACTGCTGCTGCAGTAGTTGCTGCTGCTGCTGCAGTTTCTGCTGCTGCTGCAGTTGCTGCTGCTGCTGCAGTTGCTGCTGCTGCTGCACTTGCTGCTGCTGCTGCACTTGCTGCTGCTGCTGCAGTTGCTGCTGCTGCTGCACTTGCTGCTGCTGCTGCAGTTGCTGCCTTATCCATTTTAATATAACACTATGTATTATTCTACCCACCCTAATGTGTATCATACTGCTATATGTTTACTGTACAATTACGACACCATACATTACTCTGCACACTGCACCATGCCAGTGAATGGAACGCGGTCTGAAAGTCACCGTTCCACTCACTGGCATCGTGCAGTGTGCAGAGTAATGTATGGTGTCGTAATTGTACAGTAAACATATAGCAGTATGATACACATTAGGGTGGGTAGAATAATACATAGTGTTATATTAAAATGGATAAGGCAGCAACTGCAGCAGCAGCAGCAAGTGCAGCAGCAGCAGCAACTGCAGCAGCAGCAGCAAGTGCAGCAGCAGCAGCAAGTGCAGCAGCAGCAGCAACTGCAGCAGCAGCAGCAACTGCAGCAGCAGCAGAAACTGCAGCAGCAGCAGCAACTACTGCAGCAGCAGTAACTGCAGCTCCCTTTGATGCTGTTAATCCTGCATAATGCACATGCATATGCAGTACTAATTACATTCCTGCATTTCCCATAAATATGCTAAATTCCTGTTGATATGCAAATTCCTTTGTCAATGCGCCCAGCTTATATATATGCTCCAAGCCCGTGTGCTGTTTCATTCAGACTCTGTCGCCTCGACGGACCTGGTTATCACCTGAGGACGGCTGCTTGCGTTGTGGCCGAAACGTCGTGAGAATTGTTTTATTATGTTTTATTTTTATTATTTTATTACTTCCCTTCTACGTGACTTTACCGAAAGAACCAAGAAGATGAATCCCTGCAGTCACGAAAGCTTTAAATCGAAACAATAAAATTGTTTTATATTTGTATTATTTTATTATTTCCCTTCTACGTGACTTTTCCGAAAGAACCAAGAATATAATTAATACTAGTTATTGAATTAACTGGTCCTCATTAAAACTGGTTATATAGTTAATTGATCCTCATGAAGACGCCACGGTGGCTGGATATTAACTATACAGGAGGTCGTGGAAACGATGATGATGATGACAACGATGACGATGATGACAACAACGACGACGACGTGCGACATCTCACGCAGTGCCCGGAGAGTCCTCGTCATCGCAGGTCATCGCGTCGTCGTCCTCCTCGTCGTCCTCCAGGAGGTCAGAGGGCAGCTCAGCTCCGTTGGGGTCGGGCAGTTCGAGCACCGGGGCGATGGAGCAGCGGCGACCCTCCGACATGGACATCCAGATGCCGCCGCCGCCGCCGGGCCCGGCGGCCCCCCCGGGGCCACACGGCCCCACGGCGTGGCCGGCCGACGAGGACGAGCAGCGGCGCTCCATGAGGGTCCGCAGGTCCAGCGACACGGAGCCTGGGCGAGGCGCACGGTCGGAGCGCGGCCGGCAGATGATGACACCACCACCACCACCAAAAAAAACCAACGTGGTAAGTATCACACGCGCGCACACGAATGCGCATTATGAAACACTTTTGTGCCCGGACGTGTTAATAAAACTAACTAGAAATATAAACAAAATTGGTTTAACCAGGTAATACCCACTGCGCTCTATATCTCTGACCAAAAATGATCATGGCCACAAATGATAGCTCAACGAAGTGGCTCATCTTCTGGAAATGCATTGCAGCCAAATACTCTAAACGCATGTTTAGAGTAACAAACTGGAGGACCCAGAAAAAAATCTACGTGACCAAGGGGAGAGAGGCACGCAAACTCCATATATACAGCAGCAGCGGGCGTGAGGGTCGGGATCGAACCCACGACCTCCTGTATACCGGGCGAGGTAGTTAACATCTCCTAGCCACCGTTGCGCCCCTTATTATTACACCCAGCAGCAGCAGTGGCAACATCGTCGCCTCCGCCCTCCCTACTGCGAAACACGTGAGCAGCACCCTCCTGACCAAAGAGTCTTGAGACTCGGTGAGGCTTTCCTGGGTAAAGCGATTGTGATCGCAAAAAACAACAACAATTAACAAACCACATTTCTCAACTCTCGACTAGTTTGTTCAAGTGTCCACGTTTAGACAACTGTCCCCCCCACCCCACTCAGACCCCCCCACCGCCATCCAACAACCACCGTCCCCCACCGACGATCCCAATAGCGTCGCCTCACCGATCGTGGCAGCAAACTCCCTGCCGTCACTCTCACGGGGTGGCCCGGGCGGGTGCCCCAACGGGTGCCCGGATAGGTGCCCGTTGGGCGCGTTGCCCACGGGGCCAGAGCCCCCCGCCTTGTTGGCGCCGCTGCCGCCGCCGCCGGCATGCCGGACGAAGAGCGCCGAGTTCTCCTCCTTGGTGATGCTGATGTAGAAGCAGATGTCGGCGGCGGAGAGCAGGTGGCGCTGGCCCGGGTTGAGACGCGTGGAGCCCCCGTCGCGCCGCACGCCGATCAGGCACACGCCATATCTACCGCCACCACAGCCACCGCCAGCACGACATGATGAAGGTCTTTTTGTTTGTTGGGTTGGATCGCGTGTGGATGAATGCATTGTCAACCCCGCCGCCCGCCACCGCCCGACACGGCCAACCGCAGTAAGATTTGTCAAGTAAACAAAACGCGCCGTTTAGTTGATACTACAGCACTAAGCGGTGCATTGGGAGAGTAATAACCCGGCAACATTTACAAACCCTCGGCAACGTTTGCAATTCGAAGCGTGATGCGTCGCTAGAGATTACAACCAGCTTCATCAGGCGATGAGCCAGAATCGTTCAACTTTGCACGAGAGCAGCGTACAGGTCCGACCATCTCTGCGAAAGTGACCCCCCCCCCACGATGAACGTGTCCGGGTTCCTCTTAGGATGGGTCCTCGCTAGCGACGCAAACTTGCCACCAGAGTTTCATCTCAGATCGGATGGACTTCACCAGAGCTATCGTGACCACCCCTTCCTCCCACACACCCACCAACCCGTTCCAGACGTACACACAGACGGACGGACGGAGCGAACGGTGAAAAGCCTTTGACGAAAGTCAATGAGCGTGAGCGTGAACAATCGTCGCAATCAGCGCACTCTAAACTACAAAAACTATTTTTATTTTAGATTTGAAGCTTTCGTGACTGCAAGGATTCATACTCTTAGGTTTTTTCGGTAAAGTCACGTAGGTAAAAAATAATAATAGTAATAAATGAAAAACAACTAAATTAAATCACGACGTTTCGGAGGCAACACAAGTCTCCGTCTTCAGGTGGAACCATCACAGCTAAATTACTGTTTCAAGTAAAGAGAAATCCAAGAGACAAGATCTTATATACTGGTTAAGGGGAGGGGGGAGGAGCTTATCTAAATGTGGCAGTCAGGGACTGGGAGGGTGGGGGGGCGGGGCTAGAAGGGGAGGTCCAAGTGAAGCACCTCCACAGGGATTACGGCCGATGTTGGCTTCCAAAACCAAACAATAGCAGCACTGTTAAACGCGGTGGATGTCAACAACTCGGTAAAATAGACTAGTACCTGTCAAATAAGATGGTTAATAACATATTTCCAATGATTGCTCAATTTGTACCCATCGTCACGGTTGAAGTTATGTCTATGTTTGTATATTTGGATGGCTTCATGCACAAACCTTTGATGGTAGCCAGAAGGTTTGCAGAGCACCTTGGTCTCGGAAAAGACAATATCATGAGAGCCCACAGTGTTGTAACAGTGATCAGCTAGGTGGAAGAATCAGTTTACCAAGTAAGGCGCCCACTGAGCCATGTAGCTCTTTTTCAGAAGCGACCTGGCCATTAACGAGAGCTCAGCAACGTTGGCGGCTTATCATCATCATCACGTGGAAATTCATAGCAGTCGCCAAATCACTCTAAACGCGTAGTGACGTTGATTATAAATGTGGAGGGGGAAACCCGGAGGACCCGGAGGAAAATCCACGCGACCACAGAGAGAGAGACACCCAAACTCCAAGTATGTAGCAGGCGTTAGGGTTGGGATCGACCCCACCGACCTCCTGTACACCAGGCGATGGAGTAAACATCTCCTAGCCACCGTGAGACCTGGTATACGCCACGTTCGCCAAGAGTTTATTACGGAGGGGGGTGGGGCAGGGGGGGAGAGGAGCTGGCCTCTTTCAGTGTCACCGGAGTGGGAAACTAATCCGAGATTTCTGTTAATCGGCTCTCGGCAGCCAGGCCACACGTCACACAGAGGGAATAAACCATGCCAGCGAATATTTGACTTGATCTAAAATCCGCGGGGAGGTGGTGGCCACGCACCTCCCACCGGTAACCCCCCGGTGACCACGGTTTGACTCCCGACCTCGGCAAACAACAAACCCCCCCCCCCCCCCCCCGCGTTGGCCGTATGGCGCCGGTCTTGCGAAGCACCAATCGAGGTGTCTACGACATCGCTTCTGTTGAGGGCAGTCGATCTGATTTTGAGTGGACACCACCGGCTTGTATGGACTCAACCTGCAGAGTCGAGGTTCGAGCGCGGAATCGGGATTAGGATTCCGGCGAGTGACTGCGCCGACTGAGATGGCTAAGCGCACCGCCGATCGAGTGAGTCCCACTGGGTCACCGTTGCGCCGCGTGATATGCGAGCAACCGCCTGCCTCTCGTGATTGGCAACTATCTCGGGCAGCGTTCTTCATTGCGAGGCCCGCAGCGGGCGACCGGCGGTCCCTGGTGGCCTTTAGTGCGGCCCCTAGCGTGCGGTCCCCCCGTGACAATACACAACAGAGTGAGAATAGCCCCCATCATCATCACCGTTATCATGCTGCTGTCAAATCCCCAATAGTTTGGGATGGTGTGGCAGCCCTCTTCACATCTCACGACTGAAGATGTCTTATCGGCGACAGTGACCCCGGCCTCTGAAAATGTAGTGAAGACCGCTGGTCTAGACGATCGGCGATTCCGTTGCAGTCCGATGTCATCGCAGTTAGGAAAGCAATGAAAACTGTGACACTCTTTCTCTTTAACCAGCTAAGGCCTCGACTGAGCTGCGTAGCTCTTTTTCACAAGCGACCTGGCGATCACAAATGACAGCTCGACGGAAGTGGCTTGTCGTCATCGTCACCACGTGGTAATTTACAGCACGTGGATTCTAAACGTGGAGGGCAAAAAACTGGAGGGCCCAGTTTGCTGTCGCCCCACCCCCCTCAAACTACGCCCAGGCCTATCCCAACCCCTCCTTATCAATCCCTTTTGTTTTACTGCATCAAAACTACACCAACACTCACAATACACCAATTCTTCATTTCAAATTATTGTCATGCAATGTACAACTTTATAATTGCTGTAAAGCGCCTTGGCAAAGGCGCCATATACATCTCATGGAGGTGAAATTAGAAAAAAATCCATGCGACAACAGTGAAAATTAGACAGTGCAAACTAAAAATATAAAGCAGTAGGCGCGGCAGGGTCAGGATCGAATTCACGACCTCCTGCGTACCAGGCGAGGGAGTTAACATCTCGCCACTTGACGGGGAGAGGATCTGGGCCCTTTCAGTGTCGCCCAGGTGGGAAACTAATCCTGGATTTCTTACGTGCACGTTCATTATTACAACAGCAGGCATCGTCAGGGTCGGTATCGAACGCATCACCTCCTTCAAACCAGGCAATATAGTTAACATCTCCTCATCACTGTGATGATTTTGAGAGAGAGATAGAGAGACACTCAACTCCAAATATACAACAGGCGTCAGAGTGGGGATTGAACCCACGACCTCCTGTATACCAGGTGAAGTAGTTAACATCTCACCACCGTGAGAGATAGAGAGAGAAAACGAAACGCCTGCATTACTTCTTGTGCGCGTGGAAGGCGGCGTACGTGAAGCTCTTGCCCTCGTACTCGCGCAGGAACTTGCTGTCCGACAGCTGGATGTGGTAGATCTCGTTCCCTGAGCACCGCCCGTACATCCGCTGCCAGGGGTCGTGGGACTGTCGCCCCTCTCTGGGGGGGGGGGGGGATAAGGACGGGGGTGGGGGCGAGGCAAGGTGGGACGGGGGTTAGGTCAGCGGGGTACAGGTTAACCGGACGACAACGTACACACACACACATCGACCCACACACAGACACATCGACTCTCATACACACACACATTTACTCACACACATACATCGACTCCGACACACATCGACTTACACACACACATCGACGCAGACACGCACATCGACTCACACACACACATGGACTTAGATACACACATTATTATTGTAAAAATTACTAACTTAATTGTTAAATATTAGTTGCATATGTAGTGGTGGTGTTGACGTGCGCCGACAGTGATGGATCACGGGGCGCGGGGTTGGGCACGCGATGTGGGCGTGGTATGAACGCGCACGCCGGTGGTGAGGCGCGCTGATACAATCGGGGAAAAGAGGATCGTAGCCAGCGCGCGCAGTGATTGGTCAATAAGATGGGTGCTCTCTGCGACGTCCGCAGGAGGGGTATAAAGGGAGACGCGCGAGAGCACTCGTGGTCAGTGTTAACCAGTTGAAGACCGAAGACGGAGTGGAGGAGGTAGTGGCCCGAGACCCCTAGTCCCGCTGTCCTTGTCGGGACCGGGGCCCTGTGTGGCTCGGAGCCGAGACTGGGGAACCCGTAGTCCGACGCCCGCGTGGGTCGGGACGGTGGTACCCAGAGCCGAGACGGACACCCCAGCCGGGTGTGTTCCGGAAGGCTACGGGGCGTAAGAGCCCGTGTCAGTATAGCTGAGTGGGTGTTAGTCACCCGAGTAGCTGAGTGGGTGTTAGTCACCCGAGTAGCTGAGTGGGTGTTAGTCACCCGAGTAGCTAAGTGGGTGTTAGTCACCCGTGTAGCTGAGTGGGTGTTAGTCACCCGTGTAGCTAAGTGGGTGTTAGTCACCCGTGGAGCTGAGTGGGTGTTAGTCACCCAAGGGGCTGAGTGGGTGTTAGTCACCCAAGGGGCTGGGTGAGTGTTAGTCACCCATGTAACAGTTTGGTGTCAATAAAAAGGAGTGTGCTACCCGTGAAGACGTCTCCCGCCGAGTTACTACTTTACACATACACACACACCACACACACACACGGACGTACACACACACACATCGACTCACACACACATATCGACTCACACACATATATCGACCCACACACATCGACTTACGCACACACACATCGACGCACACAGACACATTGACTTATCGACTCACACACACATCGACTTACACACTCACATATCGACGCACACACACACACGTAGAATAACACACACATGTAACTACACACACACAAACATACGGACTTACACACACACATATCGACTAATCACACATGGACTTACGCACACACACATCGACTTACACACACACATGGACTTAAACACACACACATACATAGAGTCACACACACACATATCGACTTACAAACGCACATGGAACTACGCACACACATATGGACTTACACACACACATATCGACTAACAAACACACATGGACTTACACACACACATCGACTGACACACACCGCACACACACACATGGACATACACAAACAAACACAGCGACTGTCACACACACACATTGACTTGCAGACACATTGATTCACGCACACACGGACTCGCACAGACACAACGCACACCCATATATGGACTCACACGCACACATGGACGTACATACGCACACTCGAACTTTAATATAGACTAAATAAGTTTGTAAATAATAGTTTTGTATGTGCGTGACTTTAGCGAAAGAAGCTAGGGAAAGGGGAAATGCACGCGTGTATAAACACATTCCTGTGGAGGGAGCTGGTAGGAACGTTGGGTTGCTCGGTCAATGGCCTGCAGGGTCAACGGCGGCGTGGTGTATTCCGCAAATATGCCCGACTGTGAGGGCGGGCACAAGCCGGCGTGAGTAGGTTAAACGTTTTATAAGGGTACCACGGGGTGACCAGCCCCTCCCCACCCAGCCCCTCCCCACCCAGCCCCAACCCTCCCACCCCCCACCCAGCCCCACCCTCCCCACCCAGCCCCTCCCCACCCTCCCCTCCCCACCCAGCCCCTCCCCACCCAGCCCCTCCCCACCCACCTAGCGCCTCCCCACCCCACCTAGCCCCACCCTCCCCACCCAGCCCCACTCCCCCCCTCCCCACCCAGTCCCTCCCTCCCCACCCAGCCCCTCCCTGCACGACGGACGGACACAATAATCCCCTGTGGGCTGGTGTAACCAGGAGGTTTCCTACCAGTATAAGTAATTAGGAGCGACTGCGAGGGTGTTCCGCCATTTTGGTTGCAAACATTTGCCGCGAGCAAGATCGGCAAATAAATGAAAGTAAACAAATACAAAATGAACCTCACCTGACTCTAACTATGAGCAGATGCGCACCAATCAAGCGTAATTGACATCACGTCACTGCCCAAACCCCCCTACTGAGTGGGCAATTGTTAATATGATAGAATGAAGACGTAATTTAGTATATCTATTGGTTTGCCCCTGTACAGTGATATTGCGTGGTTGCTTATGCATCAAGATTACAGAAAAAGGCTATTCTTCATAAACATTGGTTAATCCCTGTCATTAAATGTAACCTATAAAATGGAATTTGTAATGAGTAAACAATCATGATAATAAATGTTTGAAGGGAGCTGTCAATCTGTGTGTGTTCCCCTTCGCAGTGTCTACACGAAAGAGAATCCCCCCCTGACCCCCACCGAACGCGTGTGAGTTGGTAGGGTCGAGCACGCAATAAGTAACGGAAATAGCACAAAATCGCGAATCAAACTACTTTGAAGGTGACGGACGCGAAATCGGAATAGCACTGGCTCAGCACGGGCTTATGGCGTGATGCCTGGCTACTTCTTTAAAACGTGAACCCCATGGTTTGCGAGCCAAATTCTTCGCAAGTTTCGGCCAAAACGCATACAGACACACAGAAAAACAATGAAATTTATCGGTAAAAAAAAAGAAATACTGGCAAGGGAGGTCCCATTACATGCTTATATGATCAGAGCATGTTTATTTACATGTTCACCATAAGTGCCGTGTGTGATCAATGCAGAATTGACGCCTTGAAAAAATTGTCTATTTGGTGTTTGAACATCTCAACACCGCCCGTTGTGTTGCTCAAAAGGGTTAAAAACTATTCTTTTCATACTTTGATATGATGGCAAAAATGTCCCACGATATACTGCGGTCTGTTCTCCGACAACGCCGCATGTTGTTTTCATGACGCAAAAATTGGGTACAACGCGACGAATGTGTTAGGGAACACATTTCTTCGTAACGTGGATGCGAATCGGATATGCTGGTGTAGTGCCGTAGATGGGCCACGCTTACCGGCAGTGGGAGATGAGGTCCATCTGCAAGGGTGCCGCGTACCGCCAAGGGGGGGGGCTGCGGGGGATCTACGATCCTACACAACGCCACCCCTCGATGGGGACCCCAGACAGCTAATCCCCTCGGCGCCACCAACGGGGTGGGCTGCGGGGGATCTACGATCCCACGTAACGCCACCCCTCGATGGGCAAAGGGGCATCAAAGGGGACCTCCCCTGCCGATCGGGACCAGTCGCAACTCAAGACCCAAGACCAGCCAGCTTAGGACCCTGGATCCCCTCGCCCCGCTTGTCCTTGAAAGGGCCGGGACGCTGTGCGGGCCAGCGCTGGGACTCTGGGACTCCCGGCTCTACGCCCTTGTAAGGGCGAGTTCCGAGGAAGCCAGAGTCTAGACCCGTACCTTGGCTGGGTCGGGTCAGGTAGCCTCCCCTAGGGTAGTTGTAGCCGGAGGACCCGAGAGCGTAGCCGGAGGACCCGAGAGCGTAGCCAGAGTAGGCTGTGTCCCTAGGCTGTGTCCCTAGGCTGTGTCCCTAGGCTGTAACAGAGTATCAGGACTTTAATTCTAGATTTGAAGCTTTCGTGACTGCAAGGATTCATATTCTTAGGTTTTTTCGGTAAAGTCACTTACGTGACTTTACCGAAAAAACCAAAAAACCTAAGAGTATCAGGACTGTTGGAGTGTGGTATCGTAATAAAGAAGTTACCTCTACAAGTGTCTCAGGAACCCATTACACTGGTGACCCTCGACTTAACGACGCCTCGACTTGCGACCTTTCTATATCATCAGTAAGACGCCCCCCACAGCACCGACCAAAACTCGCATCTACGGCCGCCTCGAGACTGCTACCGACGCCGAGTCGATTGGCGACGAGTGTGCCTGTGTATAGTATAGTGTATAGTAGTAGTGTAGTATAGTATATAGTAGTGTAGTGTATAGTAGTAGTGTTTAGTAGTGTAGTGTAGTGTATAGTGTAGTGTACAGGCGATATGTCGTGCTGCAGACTCGTCGCCTGATGGTACTGCTTTGCTCTTCCGTCGTATGCGTGTCTACGGTGTAGCCCGACCGTCTGCGCCGAGAGTGAACGCAGCGGCGTCTCTTTCTCGACACTTTTGACTTCTTTCTAAATTTTCTTCAACTTCTGAAACATTGTCGCCTTTCACTACTGCGTCCGAGAAGAAGAAATGTGACGCACGTGCAGAAAAGTACTTGAGGATTTTCAAATGTGTTTGTTTTTTACTTAATAAATGTTTGTAAAAGTTACGTTAAGTTGCGATAAATGTTTGTTAGGGTGACTTCCATTCAATTTCGTGGTCAATTTTGGTATTTCTAACGGCACGTAACGGGTTTCCAGGAACGGAACCCCATCTTATAACTTTGTTACATTGGGGAAACGAAACGTCATGTCTCCAATCGTGTCCGCGAGCACAAGTCAGATCTGAAACATGGCAAAATTGAGTCTTCCGCCGTTGCCGATCATTGCTACAACGCTGTGGGCTCTCATGATAGTGTCTTTTCTGACACCAAGGTACTCTGCAAACCTTCTGTCTACCATCAAAGGTTTGTACACGAAGCCATCCAGATATACAAACACAGACATAACTTCAACCGTGATGATGGGTACAAACTGAGTAATTATTGGAAAGATGTTATTAACCATGTAGTAAAGATTTAACTACACATATTTGTCACATCTTATTTGACAGGTACTTTTCTACTTTACCGAGTGTTGACATCCCCAGCGTTTAACAGTACTGCTTTTTTGTATTTGGATTTTCAGCCAACACCGGTTTAGGTCGAGGTACACCGATTGTTCTCTTGCACAGGTCGACGTTCGCCAATTTCTCTTGTAGCCCCGCCCACCACCTCCACGTTCCATTCCCTGGTTACTACATTCAGATAAGCCCCTCCCCCCTTAACTTGTATTTAAGGGCTTGTCTCTTGGAATTTTGCCTCACTTGATGCAGTAAATTTAGCTGTGACGGTCCCTCCTGATGACGGAGACTTGTGTTGCCTCCGAAACGTCGTGATTTATTATTTTATTCATATTATTACTTCTATTATTTATTTTTTATTTTTATTTTTACCTACGTGACTTTACCGAAAAAACCTAAGAGTACCCATCTTATAACATTGAGCCCTATGGGAGATAAGGGTTCGACTTACGACGGCTCCGCTTGCGAACATCGTCCAGGAAACAAATTACTTTGCAGGTGCGGTGGTCGCCTGTAACGCGATCGAGCGAAAGGAACTGCGTCGCAGCGCGAGTGGGAAGGAGCGGTCGTATGGCTGCCCAGGCGAAGCATCGCCACACGAGCCGCCGGGATGCTGCTGGATGCTTCTAGATGCTACCCAGGCGCCTCGGTCTTTGTTCTGCCTGCGTTGCGCACCAAGCGCGTGATCACGGCACTGTGCTTTACCCATCATGGGATCTCCTTTGCCAGTACCAAAATATGAGAATAGGTTTTCCCCTTTTTTCTGGCAATAAAACAGGTGTTAAGATGTTAAAACACCAAACTGCATCCTTTTACAAGGAATCATGTCTGCATTAACCACAATGCTTGTGGTCAGAATTCAAACGAAAAACACTGATAATATATATGCATTGTCCTTGAAACTGATTGATCCACACCAGAGACAGCTTTATTTTAAGCCTCGTCTCCATTGTGCATTATTTATTGTAACGAGATTTTTCAAAGAAGGCAGCGTTCTTCGCCAACTACTACTATTACCGCTTGCTCACCCTGACGAGCCTCGCCGAGTCTCAAGACTCCTTTACAGGAGGGTCCTGCCGAGTTTATTTTTCGCAGAATGGTGGGGAGGGGGGGGGTGATGCTCCCGCTGCCACCACCATCGCCGTCACCGCCGGGTGAATCCCCCAGTGAGCGATGCGCAGGGCGATCGTCCCCCGGCACTGGGGGATGTTTTTTGGTGCGAACACGCGGCCGGCGCGCTCGCGATCACTCACTGGCCGCGGGACGTGTGCAGCAGCAGCGTCATGAGCGTGGACGTGGCGGGGCACACGCAGTTGAGCGCCAGCAGCGCGTACTTGAACTCCTCCTCGCACACCACGTGGTCTGCCCGCACGCACAGACGGAGAGTTCGTTGCAGCCCACACGGACCGGGCAGATCGGATGTGTCTGGCTACGTACAGTGCCAAATAAATTCAACACACACACGTACATACTGCCCATAGACTCAACACTGCCCATAGACTCAACACTGCCCATAGACTCAACACTGCCCATAGACTCAACACTGCCCATATCCATAGACTCAACACTGCCCATAGACTCAACACTGCCCATAGACTCAACACTGCCCATAGACTCAACACTGCCCATAGACTCAACACTACCCATAGACTCAACACTACCCATAGACTCAACACTACCCATAGACTCAACACTACCCATAGACTCAACACTGCCCATAGACTCAACACTGCCCATAGACTTAACACTGCCCAGAGACTCAACACTGCACAATAGACTCAACACTTCCCATAGACTCAACACTGCACCTCCGCTTAGCACAGTTGGCTACGTACAGAGCGAATGAAGCCCCACGCACACAACGCGCACACCATCCACTGTCGAGGCACGCACCCGCGAACTTGACGTGGAACTTGTTTTCGGGTCTCAGGATCTGCACGTAGAGTGGGCAGCCCGGCGCAAAGTCTTTCACGGCCCACGCCCGCAGGATGGTTTGCTGGTCCTGCAGGAGTAAGGGTTTCTTAATGCCAGGGGGTGGGGAACCTTTTTTCTGCCAAGGTCCATTTGGATATTTAGACCATCATTCGCGGGGCCGTACAAAATGATCAAATTAAAAATTAGCCCGTTATATTTGGTCAAACATTTAATTAACTCGCCCCTAATGCGATGGCTGGAACTGCTTCTCTTTGGCGAGGCGAGCGATGTTAGCTGGCATTGATGATGTTGCTACTCGCAACTGATTTTCGAGGTTTGCTCCGAGATTTATTGAATTTCGAGTCCCGCCTGCGGTTGCCTTGGCAGGGCCAGACCACCCCTGATGTACGCACACCGCGGGTACAGGGTGAAGGCGGGAGGCAAAGTAGCCTGCACCTCCGCCTAAAGGAGGCTCCGGTGACCTCGAAGGTGTTTGGCCGACCCACTAGGAGGGACCTCACGGAGCAGCTCCGCTCACGTCAACCTCATTCGTTCCACGGGAGGAGGTCGCTCCCTCTCGCGTTCTGCTCCTGCTGTCTGGAATTATCCCCCACCTCCTCCTCCTCCTCTTGAACTCGGCGTGGTTGAGGCCCTGCCGTCCTGGTTCAGGTCGAGACTTAAGACCCCCCCTCCCCGATTGTTTTCATCTGCATCAGTGGCTTTTGGGGCCGTCCATAAATGACGTCACTCGATTTTGGACGATTTTTGACCCCCCCCCCCATCGTCACACGGCGTCACAAAAAGTCAAACCCCCTGAAATATGACGTCACAAAGCTCTGCCCCCCCCCCCCCCAAAATAATAAAACATGCTTCAAATCGCTTTAAACTATTGTCATTGTAGTGCGTATTTAATGTGGCGCTGCACTCTGATGTTGTAGGAGAAACTTGTATTAAAATGTCTATTTAATTAAGTAGAACGTGTTGTCTATATTTATTTAAAGTTGCGCATTTTGATGCGACGTCACATTTTTCAAACCCCCCCCACCCTCGTCACACATCGTCACACATCGTCACAAATGTCTGACGCCCCTCCCCCCTAGGTGCGTGACGTCATTTATGGACGGCCCCTTTGCCTTTCTTCCCTGCAACCCCCCCACCGCCCACCAAGCATCTGAAGATGCGGCTGGCATTGAGACGCTGCGACCTGAGCGTCCATTGCGTCTCACCGCTGCCCCCCTCACACAGGGGCTCTGCCCCGGCCCGACTCGCGTCACGCGGCTCTGCGGAGACTCCACAAGAGGGTCGGCCGATGCCGGACACAGCGAGCGGCAAAACAACTCGGAGACACCGCGGTTCGAAACTGACCCGCTACACACACACGCGCACGCGTGACGGACATCACGGATCACGAGCGGCTCCCACCCTGCCCCCCCCTACCGGGAGGCGGTGCTCACCGCGGCGATGCGATCCTCGTTGCGGCTGGTCAGCACGAAGCACACCTGGGCGCTGTCGATCCTGCAGCCGCCGCGGGACAACACAGCAGGTGGGACAACACAGCCGGTGGGACAACACAGCCGGTGGGACAACACAGCCGGTGGGACAACACAGCCGGTGGGACGCCCATTCCGTTCAGAATGACGACGACTTTGGCACTTGGGAGAACGATTTTAAAAGATAACGGACGAACAAGCTCTCCACACCTAGAGATGAGGATGCTCAGATGGAGCCTCGGGCTCACTCGATGGGATTGTGTCAGGAACGAAGACGTTCGGAAGCGACTTGGTGTGGCCCCCATTGCGGACAAGATGCTTGAGGCAAGGCTTCGGTGGTACGGCCATGTGATGCGAAGTGAAGAGTCATCAGTGGCCAAGACTGCCGTGCGTATTGAGCCAGAGGGCCGCCGTCCACGCGGACGTCCGAAGAAGCGATGGATGGACCGAATAAAGGAAGACATGAAGACGGTCAACGCATCCCCTGAAGATGCCCTGGACCGAGCCAAATGGAGAAGACAATGCCGAAAAGCGGACCCTGCGCCACAGCGGGAACAACGCTAGGAAGAAGAAGGACGAACCCGTGTTGATTGTCCCACGCAGCGGCACGGAGACACACGGAGACGTGGAGATGGACACACAGACACGGAGACACACGCAGAGACACACAGACACGGAGACACACGCAGAGACACACGGAGACATACGCAGAGACACACAGACACGGAGACACACGCAGAGACACACGCAGAGACACACAGACACGGAGACACCTGCAGAGACACACAGACACGGAGACACCTGCAGAGACACACAGACACACAGACACACGCAGAGACACACAGACACGGAGACACTTGCAGAGACACACAGACACGGAGACTCATGCAGAGACACACAAACACACAGACACACGCAGAGACACACAGACACAGAGACACTTGCAGAGACACACAGACACGGAGACTCATGCAGAGACACGCAGACACGGAGACACACGCAGAGACACACAGACCCGGAGACACATGCAGAGACACATGCAGAGACACACAGACACATGCAGAGACACACAGACACGGTGACTCATGCAGAGACACACAGACACGGAGACACCTGCAGAGACACAGACACGGAGACGCATTCAGAGACACACAGACACGGAGACACACGCAGAGACACACACACGGAGACACACACAGAGACACACAGACACGGAGAATCATGCAGAGACACAGACACGGAGACACCTGCAGAGACACAGACACGGAGACGCATTCAGAGACACACAGACACGGAGACACACGCAGAGACACACACACGGAGACACACACAGAGACACACAGACACGGAGAATCATGCAGAGACACACAGACACGAATGCACTCACGCCACCCGATGTCGTTGTTGTCGATGCGAGATCGGCGTGAGCGAAGGAACGTGAATTCACTCTCTGCTACAATGCATTCCCACCCACCCACCCAGCCACCCACCCACCTAGCCACACACCCACCCAACCACACACCCACCCAGCCACACACCCATCCAGCCACCCACCCAGCCACACACACACCTAGCCACACACCTGCAAACCCACCCACCCATCCAGCCACCCACCCAGCCACACACACACACACCCACCCACACACCCACCCACCCACACACCCACCCACACACCCACGCACACACCCACCCACACACCCACCCATCCAGCCACCCACCCAGCCACCCCACACACCCACCCACCCACACACCCACCCACACACCCACCCACCCATCCAGCCACCCACCCACCCACACATCCACACACCCACACACCCACACACCCACACACCCAGCCACCCACACACCCAGCCACCCACACACCCACACACCCAGCCACCCACCCAGCCACACACACACCTAGCCACACACCCGCAAACCCACCCACCCATCCAGCCACACACCCAGCCACCCACCCAGCCACCCACCTAGCCACACACACACCCAGCCACACACCTGCAAACCCACCCACCCATCCAGCCACCCACACACCCACCACTCTACCCACACACCCACCCACACACCCACCCACACACCCACCCACCCAGCCACACACGCACCCAGCCACACACCCACACACCCACCCACCCACACACCCACCTACACACCCACCCACACACCCACCCACCTAGCCACACACACACCCACCCACCCACACACCCACCCACACACCCAGCAACCCACCCACACACCCACACACCCACCCACCCAGCCACCCACCCACACACCCACCCACCCAGTCACACACCCACACACCCACCCACCAGTCACACATCCACACACATACCCAGCCACACACCCAGCCACACACCCAGCCACACACACACCCATCCACCCACACACCCAGCCACACACCCAGCCACCCACCCACACACACACCCACACACACACCCACCACCCACACACCCACCCATGGAAACCACCCAGGCGGGCCCCACAGCGAGTCTCTGGCTCTGCGTGGCCGGGGTGACAGCGAGCGGTGCAGCGAGAGGGAGGGCGGGGTGCACCACTCGGCGGTGGGGTTGGGGGGAGCGTTTGGGGGGGTGGGGGAGGGGTTGGGGGGGAGCGGTTGGGGGGTGGGAAGGGGTTTGGGGGGGTGGGGGGGTTAGGGGGTGGGGGGAGGGGTTGGTGGGGTGGGGGGAGGGGTTAGGGGGGAGAGGTTGGGGGTGGGGGGAGGGGATTGGGGGGGTGGGGGGGAGATGTTTGGGGGGGTGGGGGAGATGTTTGGGGGGGTGGGGGGAGATTTTTGGGGGGGTGGGGGGAGGGGGTTGGGGTTTGGGGGAGGGGGTTGGGGGGAGGGGGTTGAGGGGAGGGGTTGGGGGGGTGGCCTCCCGTACTTGGCGCGTGCCAGGTCCTGGTCCTTGAGCGCCGAGCCTTGCACGTAGATGACGCGCTGGTACCACATGGGGATCTGCAGGACGTGGCGAACCTGCGGGTCCATCTCCGACGGGCAGAGGATCACCACGAAGCAGTCCTGCGGCACGGGGGGGGGGGGGGTGGGGGATGGGGGGGTGGGAGATTGTATGGGAGGGGTAAGTTGGGCAGGGGTTGAGGGATCAGAGCGTGATGGTGAGAGAGGGAGTGTGAGTGAGGGAGTGTGATGGTGAGTGAGGGAGTGTGATGGTGAGTGAGGGAGTGTGAGTGAGGGAGTGTGATGGTGAGTGAGGGAGTGTGAGTGAGGGAGTGTGATGGTGAGTGAGGGAGTGTGAGAGAGGGAGTGTGATGGGGAAAGAGGGAGTGTGAGTGAGGGAGTGTGATGGTGAGTGAGGGAGTGTGAGAGAGGGAGTGTGATGGTGAGTGAGGGAGTGTGAGAGAGGGAGTGTGATGGTGAGTGAGGGAGTGTGATGGTGAGTGAGGGAGTGTGATGGTGAGGGAGTGTGAGAGAGGGAGTGTGATGGTGAGTGAGGGAGTGTGAGAGAGGGAGTGTGATGGTGAGAGAGGGAGTGTGATGGTGAGTGAGGGAGTGTGATGGTGAGTGAGGGAGTGTGAGAGAGGGAGTGTGATGGTGAGTGAGGGAGTGTGAGAGGGAGTGTGATGGTGAGAGAGGGAGTGTGAGTGAGGGAGTGTGAGTGTGAGTGAGGGAGTGTGATGGTGAGTGAGGGAGTGTGAGTGTGAGTGAGGGAGTGTGATGGTGAGAGAGGGAGTGTGAGTGTGAGTGAGGGAGTGTGAGAGAGGGAGTGTGATGGTGAGTGAGGGAGTGTGAGTGAGGGAGTGTGATGGTGAGAGAGGGAGTGTGAGTGTGAGTGAGGGAGTGTGATGGTGAGTGAGGGAGTGTGAGAGAGGGAGTGTGAGTGAGGGAGTGTGAGTGAGGGAGTGTGATGGTGAGTGAGGGAGTGTGAGTGAGGGAGTGTGAGTGTGAGTGAGGGAGTGTGATGGTGAGTGAGGGAGTGTGAGAGAAGGAGTGTGAGTGTGAGTGAGGGAGTGTGAGAGAGGGAGTGTGATGGTGAGTGAGGGAGTGTGATGGTGAGTGAGGGAGTGTGATGGTGAGTGAGGGAGTGTGATGGTGAGTGAGTGTGATGGTGAGTGAGGGAGTGTGATGGTGAGTGAGGGAGTGTGATGGTGAGTGAGGGAGTGTGATGGTGAGTGAGTGTGATGGTGAGAGAGGGAGTGTGAGAGAGGGAGTGTGATGGTGAGTGAGGGAGTGTGATGGTGAGTGAGGGAGTGTGATGGTGAGTGAGGGAGTGTGATGGTGAGTGAGTGTGATGGTGAGTGAGGGAGTGTGATGGTGAGAGAGGGAGTGTGATGGTGAGTGAGGGAGTGTGATGGTGAGTGAGTGTGATGGTGAGTGAGGGAGTGTGATGGTGAGTGAGGGAGTGTGATGGTGAGAGAGGGAGTGTGATGGTGAGTGAGGGAGTGTGATGGTGAGTGAGGGAGTGTGATGGTGAGTGAGGGAGTGTGATGGTGAGTGAGGGAGTGTGATGGTGAGTGAGGGAGTGAGATGGTGAGTGAGGGAGTGTGATGGTGAGTGAGGGAGTGTGAGAGAGGGAGTGTGATGGTGAGAGAGGGAGTGTGATGGTGAGTGAGGGAGTGTGATGGTGAGTGAGTGTGATGGTGAGTGAGGGAGTGTGAGTGAGGGAGTGTGATGGTGAGTGAGGGAGTGTGATGGTGAGTGAGGGAGTGTGATGGTGAGTGAGTGTGATGGTGAGTGAGGGAGTGTGATGGTGAGAGAGGGAGTGTGATGGTGAGTGAGGGAGTGTGATGGTGAGTGAGGGAGTGTGATGGTGAGTGAGTGTGATGGTGAGTGAGGGAGTGTGATGGTGAGAGAGGGAGTGTGATGGTGAGTGAGGGAGTGTGATGGTGAGTGAGGGAGTGTGATGGTGAGTGAGTGTGATGGTGAGTGAGGGAGTGTGATGGTGAGTGAGGGAGTGTGAGTGAGGGAGTGTGATGGTGAGTGAGGGAGTGTGAGAGAGGGAGTGTGATGGTGAGTGAGGGAGTGTGATGGTGAGTGAGGGAGTGTGAGTGAGGGAGTGTGATGGTGAGTGAGGGAGTGTGAGAGAGGGAGTGTGATGGTGAGAGAGGGAGTGTGATGGTGAGTGAGGGAGTGTGATGGTGAGTGAGGGAGTGTGATGGTGAGTTAGGGAGTGTGATGGTGAGTGAGGGAGTGTGATGGTGAGAGAGGAAGTGTGAGAGAGGGAGTGTGATGGTGAGTGAGGGAGTGTGATGGTGAGTGAGGGAGTGTGATGGTGAGTTAGGGAGTGTGATGGTGAGTGAGGGAGTGTGATGGTGAGTGAGGGAGTGTGAGAGAGGGAGTGTGAGTGTGAGTGAGGGAGTGTGAGAGAGGGAGTGTGATGGTGAGTGAGGGAGTGTGATGGTGAGTGAGGGAGTGTGATGGTGAGAGAGGGAGTGTGATGGTGAGTGAGGGAGTGTGAGAGAGGGAGTGTGATGGTGAGTGAGGGAGTGTGATGGTGAGTGAGGGAGTGTGAGAGAGGGAGTGTGATGGTGAGTGAGGGAGTGTGATGGTGAGTGAGGGAGTGTGATGGTGAGAGAGGGAGTGTGATGGTGAGTGAGGGAGTGTGAGAGAGGGAGTGTGATGGTGAGTGAGGGAGTGTGATGGTGAGTGAGGGAGTGTGATGGTGAGTGAGGGAGTGTGATGGTGAGAGAGGGAGTGTGAGAGAGGGAGTGTGATGGTGAGTGAGGGAGTGTGATGGTGAGTGAGGGAGTGTGATGGTGAGAGAGGGAGTGTGATGGTGAGTGAGGGAGTGTGAGAGAGGGAGTGTGATGGTGAGTGAGGGAGTGTGATGGTGAGTGAGGGAGTGTGATGGTGAGTGAGGAAGTGTGATGGTGAGTGAGGGAGTGTGATGGTGAGAGAGGGAGTGTGAGAGAGGGAGTGTGATGGTGAGTGAGGGAGTGAGATGGTGAGTGAGGGAGTGTGATGGTGAGTGAGGGAGTGTGAGAGAGGGAGTGTGATGGTGAGTGAGGGAGTGTGATGGTGAGTGAGGGAGTGTGATGGTGAGTGAGGGAGTGTGATGGTGAGTGAGGGAGTGTGATGGTGAGTGAGGGAGTGTGAGATAGGGAGTGTGATGGTGAGTGAGGGAGTGTGATGGTGAGAGAGGGAGTGTGAGAGAGGAAGTGTGATGGTGAGTGAGGGAGTGTGATGGTGAGTGAGGGAGTGTGAGTGAGGGAGTGTGATGGTGAGTGAGGGAGTGTGATGGTGAGAGAGGGAGTGTGAGAGAGGGAGTGTGATGGTGAGTGAGGGAGTGTGATGGTGAGAGAGGGAGTGTGAGAGAGGGAGTGTGATGGTGAGTGAGGGAGTGTGATGGTGAGTGAGGGAGTGTGAGAGAGGGAGTGTGATGGTGAGAGAGGGAGTGTGAGAGAGGGAGTGTGATGGTGAGTGAGGGAGTGTGATGGTGAGTGAGGGAGTGTGATGGTGAGTGAGGGAGTGTGATGGTGAGTGAGGGAGTGTGAGAGAGGGAGTGTGATGGTGAGTGAGGGAGTGTGATGGTGAGTGAGGGAGTGTGATGGTGAGTGAGGGAGTGTGATGGTGAGTGAGGGAGTGTGATGGTGAGTGAGGGAGTGTGAGTGAGGGAGGGAGTGTGATGGTGAGTGAGGGAGTGTGATGGTGAGTGAGGGAGTGTGATGGTGAGAGAGGGAGTGTGAGAGAGGGAGTGTGATGGTGAGTGAGGGAGTGTGATGGTGAGTGAGGGAGTGTGATGGTGAGTGAGGGAGTGTGATGGTGAGTGAGGGAGTGTGAGAGAGGGAGTGTGATGGTGAGTGAGGGAGTGTGATGGTGAGTAAGGGAGTGTGAGATAGGGAGTGTGATGGTGAGTGAGGGAGTGTGATGGTGAGAGAGGGAGTGTGATGGTGAGTGAGGGAGTGTGAGATAGGGAGTGTGATGGTGAGTGAGGGAGTGTGATGGTGAGAGAGGGAGTGTGAGTGAGGGAGTGTGATGGTGAGATAGGGAGTGTGATGGTGAGTGAGGGAGTGTGAGTGAGGGAGTGTGATGGTGAGGGGGGGGGGCGAGGAGTGCCTGGAGCAGGGGGTGAGCGTAGAACTCGTTGAGGAAGTCGACGAGGACGTCGATCTTGAGGGAGCTCACGCACAGCACCACGTGGCGCTCTGTGAGCGCGCGGTAGCGGCTGTAGTTGCCGCCGCACTTCTGCCGCTCCATCCACAGGAAGGCGAGCTGCTCGAACTGCAGAGGGACAGGGGGTGGAGGAGGAGAGGCGAGGAGTGGTTTCGACTCATGCCCCCTACGCCAACCCCCATCGCTGCCACCGTGTTCAGTTTTTCATTTAAAATTTGATTGGAAACTAGCTTTACTACCCGGCTTCGCCCGGGACTTGGATTCACCACGCCTGGCCGCCTTTGTCTCCCCAGTGGCGATGTTCACACACCACAGCAGTTACTCGTTTGAGGCTGAGTCGACCTAGGGGAGGCCCAGTACCGGTTCAAATAATCGTCACCGGTGGTGGCCGCGAGCGGGAATCGAACTCGGGTCGCCGGGTTCGTAGCGCAGCGTAGCGCTAACCGCTACACTACAATGCGTGACGCTCCAACATGCGCGGGTCACGTGACAGATGTGACGTCACAGCTCACTTGGCGTGCAAAAAAATATGCATTATTGAGCTCCCCCCCCAAAAAAAAGAACCAAAAGTGTATTTTAATAATATCATTTGTGCATGGTGTACAGTCTGGAAAGTACCCACATGGCAAATTTCAAGTTTGTTGCATGTCGGGAAGTACGCTAAACATTTTGAACAGACACACATAATCACAACTTACCTTTTATATATACGGAGATAACCCTGTGAGCCAAGCGGCTCTTGACTCGGGTGCAACCGCAACAAAAACACAAACAAGAATCATCTTAAAGTGACTATGCGCATATTCTTAGGTTTTTTCGGTAAAGTCACGTAGGTAAAAAAATAAAATAAATAATAATATAAATAATAATATAAATAATTATAATTTATTATTCTATAATAATTTTTATTATTTATTTTATATTTTTTACCTACGTGACTTTACCGAAAAAACCTAAGAGTATGAATCCTTGCAGTCACGAAAGCTTCAAATCTAGAATGACCACGTGCAACAGAAAAATCCTGGGGAAAACAGCAAAGTATTCCAGAAAAAAGCACCGTATTTCAACGCTGTGTGCAAAAATCCCAGTGAGATGCAAGTCAAACAATAACAACCATAAGACAATTTCAATTAAAGTTATCAGGCTAACTCTGTACTACAACAACCATGGCTGAACCAAAACGTTTTCAAAATCACCAAAATAAAACTATAAAAGCAATTTAACAGTGATCACAGGAACTGTGATTCAAATTTAACAATAAACGAAATACATAACATGTACGACCAAACTTTGCAGCCATAGCTGGCTGCATGAGTCACTCCACAACAGCAGGAGTGCGTTGCCGGATTGTGGCCGCCCGAACTCAGAACTCTCGCGCCGTGGATCCGCATCCCGAGCGGCTCGCGTGCCGCGCCGGACGAACCACGGACCCCCCCCTCCTCCTCGCCCCCCACCGCCCTGGACACCCCGAATCGTCGTTGGCACGGAGAGAGGACCCATCACGTCCAAGGGCGATTCGCGGTGGATTTTCCTGCTCGGGCCGCGATTTGTGCCATTGACCCACCGCGATGCCCTCCCCACCCGCCTCCCCACCCTGGGCCTGCCCTCACCTGTACGGGCAGCACCATGAGTGCCACACAGATCATGAAGGCGACGAGGAGCTGAGAGGGCCAGATCTGTGGCGTCACGTCGCCGAATCCCACGGTGGAGAAGGTGACGATGCAGAAGTACAGGGAGTCGAAGAGCGACAGGCTGCCGCCAGCGCGCTCCAGGTGCTGGATGCCGCAAATGCTGCCGGCAGGGAAGTGGGGGCGGGGGGGGGGGGAAACAGGGACTTTAAAATGAATTTAATAAGTTATGTTTTAAAATATGCCGACCGATGATGCCCGTTGTGATTAGTGGCGAAACGTCGTACTCAGACTGTAAAGTTGTGGCTTGGCTCTCCAACACACAACCGGTGTGCTGTACTAGTATACTACACTATACACTACAGTATACACTACACTATACACTACACTATACACTACACTATATACTACTATACACTACACTATACACTACCCTACTATACACTGCACTACTATACACTACACTACTATACACTACACTATACATTACACTATACACTACACTATACATTACACTATATACTACTATACACTATACTATACACTACACTATACACTACACTATACACTACCCTACTATACACTACACTACACACTACACTATACACTACACTACACACTAGTGCTGTACTAGTGACGAATTGGCCACGTTCTGTTTACGTGACAAACCTTACTAGTTGGCTGTGTCGGGTGGTGGCGGGTTTAACGACACGTTTATTTATTTACGCGATCTAACCCAAAAAAAAAACTCTATTATGGATATTTTGTAAAATAAAAACGTTTCGCCGAAATGCTACGTCGAATGCGCTTTCCATAAGCGTTGCTTGTCGCCTGAGAAAGAATCCGTTAGGAAATCAGAGCACAGCGTGGAAGTGGACATCACAGACCTACCTCTGAGCTCCCTTCCTCTTCGAGTGATGCTCTAGTCCACACATAACGGCCTACGGAAGTGGATGTCACAGATCTACCTCTGAGCTCCCGTCCTCTTCAAGTGATGCTCTAGTCCACACATAACGGCCTACGGAAGTGGATGTCACAGATCTACCTCTGAGATGCTTTCCTTATTCAAGTGATGCTCTAGTCCACACATAACGGCCTACGGAAGTGGACATCACAGACCTACCTCTGAGATATCTTCCTCTTCAAGTGATGCTCTAGTCCACACACAACGGCCTACGGAAGTGGATATCACAGACCTACCTCTGAAATATCTTCCTCTTCAAGTGATGCTCTAGTCCACACATAACGGCCTACGGAAGTGGATATCACAGAGCTACCTCTGAGATCCCTGCTTCTTCAAGGGTGACGTGTGGTGAGGCGCGGTGACAAGCGGTGAGGTGAGCGGCCACTCACAATGTGAACATGAGGCAGACCAGCGTGGAGATGAGCATGAGGACCTGGTTGAACATGGCCGACTGGGCACGCTGTATGGCGCGGTGCAGATCGTTCTGGCGGCAGGGGAACAACAAAGCAACCGGTAAGCACGACGATGGCGAAGACGACGGTGATCATGACGATAACGATGTTGGTGATGATGACAATGATGATGATGGTGATGATGACGATGGTGATGACGATGATGATGACGATGGTGATGACGATGGTGCAGACGATGTTGGTGACGATGATGGTGATGATGACGATGGTGATAATGATGATGACGATGATAACGATGATGATGACGGTGGTGATGACGATGATGATGACGATAATGATGATGGTGGTGATGACGATGGTGATGACGATGATGACGATGGTGATGACGATGATGATGACGATGGTGATGTTGGTGATGTCGATGATGGTGATGATGATGGTGATGATGATGACAATGTTGGTGATGGTGATGATGACGACAATCATGATGGTGATGACGATGGTGATGATGGTGATGATGATGACGACAATGATGACGACCATGATGATGACGACAATGATGACGATGGCGATGGTGATGACGGTGATGACGATGATGGTGATGAGGATGGGGATGATAACGGTGATGACGGTGATGATGATGAAGATGATGATGACGATGATGATGACCATGATGATGACCATTATGATGATGGCGATGGTGATGGTGATAGTGATGATGGCGATGGTGATGACGATGATGATGACGATGGTGATGGTGATAGTGATGATGGCGATGGTGATGACGATGATGGTGATAGTGATGATGGCGATGGTAATGACAATAGTGATGACGATGATGGTGATGATGACAATGTTGATGGTGATGATGACGATGATGGCGATGGTGATTACGATGATGACGATGGTGACGACGGTGCGGTTGAGACTCAGCCGTCTTGGTTCAACTCAAGACCCCGTTTGTTTTCGTGTGCTGGGAGCTCGGTTATCGGTCTCCCCTGCGAAGTGTCTGGATACGCGCTTGCATTTAGGACATCATCATAGAAATTCTACTCCCGTATTTGTATTACAATGCTGCTGCTGTTGCGGGGACAGCGATGGGCCGTGGAGGAGGCAGCAATGGGCAGCACGGGGGCAGCGATGGCCAGGGACGGGGGCTGGGCAGCGATGAGCAACGGAGGGGGCAGCGATGGGCAGCGGTGAGAGCAGCGATCGGCGTTGGCAGGGGCAGCGACGGGGGCAGCGATGTGGGCAGGGATGGGCAGTGATGGGGCGCAAGATCAGCGATCCGCAAGGGCAGCGATGGGCAGCGGAGGGGGGCAGCGACGGGCAGCGGCGGGGTTGGCCGAGCGTGCGGGTGACTGTGCTCACGATGAGGTTTTGCAGTGCCAGCTTGGCGAGCCAGCAGTTGAGGAAGACCGGGATGAAGGCGCTGCGCAGGTGGGTGACGAATATCTGCAGAGCGACAACAACAACAACGACAACAACAACGTCATCATCGTCTTCGTCGTCGTCTTCCGTCGTCTTCATCGTCATTCGTTTTCATCATCTTCATCATCATCGTCTTCATCGGATTCGTCGTCGTCATTGTCTTCATATTCATCATCGTCATCATCTTCATCGTCATCGTATTCATCATCGTCTTCAGCGTCATCGTCGTTGTGACCACGTCACCATGATCTTCGTCATTGTTTGGTGCCCTTTGAAATGTTCTGAGATCCGATACAAGTCGGTAACAAGTCGATATTGTCGATACAAGTCGATAAGTCTATACAAGTCGATAACAAGTCGATATGTCGATTTTTTTCGATATTGTCGATACCAAGTCGATAATGTCGATCTTTTCGATATTGTCGATACCAAGTGGCAGTGCGCGTGTACATCTCTGTGAGGCTCCCCAGCGTGAGGGAGTGGCGGCCTCCACCAAATCACAGCTGGCGGTGTTGTTGGTGCAGTGTAGAGTCTATGGGCAGTGTTGAGTCTATGGGCAGTGTTGAGTCTATGGGTAGTGTTGAGTCTATGGGCAGTGTTGAGTCTATGGGCAGTGTTGAGTCTATGGGCAGTGTTGAGTCTATGGGTAGTGTTGAGTCTATGGGCAGTGTTGAGTCTATGGGTAGTGCTGAGTCTATGGGCAGTGTTGAGTCTATGGGTAGTGTTGAGTCTATGGGCAGTGTTGAGTCTATGAGTAGTGTTGAGTCTATGGGTAGTGCTGAGTCTATGGGCAGTGTTGAGTCTATGGGCAGTGTTGAGTCTATGGACAGTGTTAGTCTATGAGCAGTGTTAGTCTATGGGCAGTGTTAGTTTATGGGCAGTGTTAGTCTATGGGCAGTGTTGAGTCTATGGGCAGTGTTGAGTCTATGGGCAGTGTTGAGTCTATGGGCAGTGTTGAGTCTATGGGCAGTGTTGAGTCTATGGGTAGTGCTGAGTCTATGGGCAGTGTTGAGTCTATGGGCAGTGTTGAGTCTATGGGCAGTGTTGAGTCTATGGGCAGTGTTGAGTCTATGGGTAGTGCTGAGTCTATGGGCAGTGTTGAGTCTATGGGCAGTGTTGAGTCTATGGGTAGTGTTGAGTCTATGGGCAGTGTTGAGTCTATGGGTAGTGCTGAGTCTATGGGCAGTGTTGAGTCTATGGGTAGTGCTGAGTCTATGGGCAGTGTTGAGTCTATGGGCAGTGTTGAGTCTATGGGCAGTGTTGAGTCTATGGGTAGTGCTGAGTCTATGGGCAGTGTTGAGTCTATGGGTAGTGCTGAGTCTATGGGCAGTGTTGAGTCTATGGGCAGTGTTGAGTCTATGGACAGTGTTAGTCTATGAGCAGTGTTAGTCTATGGGCAGTGTTAGTCTATGGGCAGTGTTGAGTCTATGGGCAGTGTTGAGTCTATGGGCAGTGTTGAGTCTATGGGCAGTGTTGAGTCTATGGACAGTGTTAGTCTATGAGCAGTGTTAGTTTATGGGCAGTGTTAGTTTATGGGCAGTGTTGAGTCTATGGGCAGTGTTAGTTTATGGGCAGTGTTGAGTCTATGGGCAGTGTTGAGTCTATGGACAGTGTTAGTCTATGAGCAGTGTTAGTCTATGGGCAGTGTTAGTTTATGGGCAGTGTTGAGTCTATGGGCAGTGTTAGTTTATGGGCAGTGTTGAGTCTATGGGCAGTGTTGAGTCTATGGACAGTGTTAGTCTATGAGCAGTGTTAGTCTATGGGCAGCGTTAGTCTATGGGCAGCGTTAGTCTATGGGCAGTGTGTATTTATGTTGAACTTCTTTTGCACCATACATAGCCAACCGCTGCTAATCGGTGCCCAAACTGCTCCCGATCCCACCAGCCTCACCGTGATGATGAAGGGAATGGTCGTGACGACCTCCAGCACGAACGAAACCTGCAGCACCTGCTCCCAGATGTTTCCCTGAGAAACCCACCAACCACACACAGATGTCAAGCCCTTATCAGTGCCTCACCCTATTACAGACCCATTCAGACACCTGATTGGTCACCCCGTGCCCCTTAAAAATCTCAACGTTTATCCTACAAAGTCCCATCATCACAAGGGAGAAACACAAACACATAGACAACAAAAAGCAATGTGCTGCCCGTATTGAAACGGCTGTCCGCCGTATAGACCTGGATACTCAATTTCCCTGGACAAGAATACGGGGTGAACCGTGTCTGTTGACAGCTACGCAATCACAACAACAACAACCACCGCCGTGTAACTTAATCAAAATGACGACAACATTATTTACAGTCCCCCCCCTCCGTTCCTCTGTCCGTCAGTCGGTTGCCTACAGACGGTGGCAGAGACCGCTTCCAAATGTCCACCAGTGGAGGTCAAAGTCACCCACGGGTTAGGGAAGGGTCCAAAGGAAGTGAATAGATACAGATAAAGACAAAGGCGTCGTTTGACGCACCACTACAGCGAGTACTCACTTGAGGCCGAGTCGACCTAGGGGAGGAACCAGCAGGACTGGTTCAGATAATCGTCACTGATATTGGCCGTTAACGGGAATTGTACTCGGGTCACCGGGCTAACAGCGCAGTGTGCTAACCGCTGCACTACCGCTCAAAGACAAAGATTGTAGCCTTAGCAGACTGTGGGGGCAAGTGCTGTGAGCGAGCACCTATGAAGGCCGGCACGGCACACGAGGGGGTGGGTGGCCAACACCACGCCCGGCCGCCTTTGTCTCCCCAGTGGTTGTGTTTACACACCACACCAGGTACTCATTTGAGGCTGAGTCAACCTATGGGAGGCCCAGTGTCCTAATTAGAAAATCATCACTGGGTGTTGGCCGTGAGCGGGAATCGAACTCGGGTCGCCGTGTTCGTAGTGCAGCGTAGCGCTAACCGCCACACTACCGCTCCTCACTAACGATCTGGCTAAATGTGTCGTTGCGAAGCATCCCTGACACACACAAACACATGTACACACACACACAGACACATGTGTACATACACACAGACACATGTGTACTCACACACAGACACGTGTACACACACAGACACATATAAACACACACACAGACACATGTACACACACAGACACATGTGTACATACACACACAGGCATATGTGTACACACAAACACATACACATGTACACACACACACAGACACACACACACACAAACACTTGTGCACACACACACAATCACATTGGTACACACACACAGACACATGTGTACACACACACAGCCACATGTACACACACAGACACATGTGTACACACAGACACATGTGTACACACAGACACGCACGTGTACTTTGTATATTGTCGAGTTCACCTTGTAGTTGAGGAACATGAGAAGCATCGTTTCAAGGAGGCTGATGATGGCCAGAGCCACCTGCAGGAGTTGAACAAAGGCGGCCGTTTAGAACGACGACTTTCATTACTGCCTGGCCCGTGATGGTGGTGCTCGCAATGATGGCGGTGATTGTGGTGATGGCGATGGTGGTGGTGGCTTTTATGATGATGATGATGTGAATGGTGAAGGCGATATTGGTGGAGATGGTGGTGACGATGGTGGCGGTGATGGTGGTGGTGATGCTGATGGTGGTGCTAACGATGATGGTGGTGGTGATGATGGTGGTGCTGGCGATGGTGGTGGTGGCTTTCATGATGATAATGGTGTGGATGGTGAAGGCGATATTGGTGGTGATGGTGGTGGCGATGGTGGCGATTATGGTGGCGGTGATGGTGGTGATGATGGTGCTAGCGATGATGTTGGTTGCGGTGGTGGCTTTTATGATGATGATGGTGGAGGCGATGGTGGCGATTATGGTGGTGGTGGTGGTGATGGTGACGGCACCCTCAGTGTCGCCCGCTCACCTGGGAGACCCAGAAGAACATTCCCCTGTCCACCCACCAGATCAGCCGCCTGCCGGCACAGGCAGACAGACCCACAACGGGAACCACGACTTCTCGATCCGTCACCGATTTTGTTGTTGTATTAGGGGCCGTCCATAAATGACGTCACGCGATTTTGGACGATGTTCAACCCCCCCTCCCCATCGTCACACGACATCACAACAAGCCAGACCCCCCCCCTTCAAATATGACGTCACAAAGCTCTGCCCCCCCCCCCTTCAAATATGACGTCACAAAGCTCTGCCCCCCTCCCAAAACCATATTTCCATTTTTTTTAATAATCATGCTTCAAATCGCTTAAAACTATTGTCATTGTAGTGCGTATTTAATGTGGCGCGGCACTCTGATGTTGTATGAATGTTGTTATAACAATTCGATTTTTATTTAAAGTTGCGCATTTTTATGTGACGTCACATTTCTCAACCCCCCCCCCCCAGGTGCGTGACGTAATTTATGGACGGCCCCTTAGGCCAAGTGACGATTTGGCCAAATGTGTTGTTGCAAAGCCTCCCCGACACAAGCGAATTGCATTCTCGCGTGGTGCACAAGCATTTAACATTTTAACGACACACATACACGAGCGTGTGTGTGTGCGTGTGTGCGTGTGTGTGTGCGTGTGTGTGTGTGCGTGTGTGTGTGCGTGTGTGTGCGTGTGTGCGTGTGTGTGTGCGTGTGTGTGTGTGCGTGTGTGTGTGCGTGTGTGTGCGTGTGTGCGTGTGTGTGTGCGTGTGTGTGTGTGCGTGTGTGTGTGCGTGTGTGTGCGTGTGTGCGTGCGTGTGTGTGCGTGTGTGTGTGCGTGTGTGTGCGTGTGTGCGTGTGTGTGTGCGTGTGCGTGCGTGTGCGTGCGTGTGTGTGTGCGTGTGTGTGTGCGTGTGTGACCGTGCGTGTGTGTGCGTGTGTGTGTGTGCGTGTGTGTGCGTGTGTGTGTGCGTGTGTGTGCGTGTGTGCGTGTGTGTGTGCGTGTGTGTGTGTGCGTGTGTGTGTGCGTGTGTACGTGTGTGTGCGTGTGTGTGTGCGTGTGCGTGGGGAGCGGTGGTGTCGTGGTTAGTTGTGGGCCGCGCTTCGAACCCGGCAGAGAACCGAGTTCGATTCCCGCTCACGGCCAAAACCGGTGACGATTATCTGAAAGGGCCTCCCCCCTTGGTCGACTCAGCCTCAAATGAGTTACCTGGTGCGCTGTGTGTAAAAGACTTGGAAGACAAAGGCGGCCGGGCGTGGTGTTAGCCACCCATCCCTCGTGTGCCGTTCTGGCCTTCACAGGTGCTCGCTAGCAGCACTTGCCCTAGCAGTCTGTTTACGCTATACGGGGGATCTTTGTCTTTGTGTGTATACAAGTAGCCCACATGCCCAGCCACCACATGGGTTGGGGAAGAGATGGAGCCGATGGGGTACATGAGGATTTAGTGGAGCTCAGTGGACTTGCTGATGACCGCTAGTGGCGGTGTCAAAATGGGCCTCTATGGAGGAGGAAGAGGCTCGTGAAGGACGCCACTGGACAGTTGGAGGGCAGTTGCCCTCCCAGTGGGGAGGGTGGAGGAGCGGCGCTCACAAGAACGTCTAAAGCGCAGTAAGTTGGCACCGTTATGGGGGCAAGTAATATCAGTCAACACGTGGCACTGTCCCGTGTCCTCCTGCCAGCGAGCCATCGACACTTCACGTGGCCTCACGGTGCATTAAGGGGCCGTCCATAATTGACGTCACGCGATTTTGGACGATTTTTGACCCCCCCCCCCCCTTTCGTCACACGACGTCACAAAAAGTTAGACCCCCCCTCAAATATGACGTCACAAAACTTTGCCCCCCCCTCAAAAAAAAAATGCTTCAAATCGATTTAAACTATTGGCATTGTAGTGCGTATTTAATGTGGCGCTGCACTCTGATGTTATAGGAGAAAACATTTAATAAAAAGTATATTTAGTTAAATAGAACGTGTTGTCTATATTTATTTAAAGTTGCGCATTTTTACGTGGCGTCACGTTTCTCAAATCCCCCCTCGTCACACATCGTCACAAATGTCTGCCCCCCCCCCCCCCCAGGTGCGTCACGTCATTTATGGACGGCCCCTTAGCCCGGCGCAGGTGCTCTGGTTACGTCGCTGAGTGGCGAATGGTTGGTGTGCGCGTGTGTGTACGCGTCGTCGCGTGTGCTCGCTGAGCGTGTGCCAATCGACGCCCCCTGGACACAGATGCCAAGGAGATGACGCCTCCGTGCCACGGGATTATCCGGTCAAATGTGATTTGAAGCAGGGAGAAACTAACCGACGCGGAATGGAGAGGCCTTCATCCAGCAGTGGATTGACCAAAGAAGCAAGAAATAATGATTATATATAGGCACTCCTCTACTTACGAACGAGTTAGGTTCCAGAGGTCTGTTCGTAAGTCGATCTGTTCGTAAGTCCAACTTTACTCCTGTCCACTACAAACGTGTTGCACGGCTTGTACGCTAAACAGGGGGAATGGCTTTAAAAGTTGTATAATCTCCTGTAGCTGCAGATGCCACTGAATCTTCATGTTCTGAAGATGTAAATACCACCGCCATCTTTTGCGCGGCGGTTTAACTTAACGACTCTGGGTCCAAACAGGACACTGGACGTACGGACAGGTTTGTTCGTGTATCTGAAAGTTCGTAAGTCGAATGTTCGTAAGTAGAGGAGTCTCTGTATTGTCATTAAGATTGTTCACCTATCTATTTCATATATTCCACCTCTTACCAGTTAATTGGGGCGTTGGCATCAAATTCCGTGAAGTTCTGCTTGGGGCATTCCCAGCTAAGCAAACAAATGAACAACGACAAACACAAAAGAACAGCTCAAACTCCCTCATGTCATCACACAAACAACATCAACAATCCTCCTTCTTCATAGAATGGGTAGAGTGGTGGGTAGAGACGTGGAGAGAGTGGTTAGTATCAAGGCCGTAATTATAATATATATTTGGGGGGACACATCACCCCCAACATTCAAATATTCTAAAAATGTCCCCCCCCCAATATATTGCTATAAAAAAAATTGCTATGCTATGTAAATAAAAACAACAATTTGCTGAACCTTGGCCACAATATCTGGACTTGTCTTCATATATATCAATGCATAGATTTATGTTTATATGATTGTGGTTATGGTTGTACTTTATTAATCCCTAATCTCGGCCATTACATACAAAGAAACAAGAAATGGTAAAAAAGTAAAAACAGAGCAATGTAATACAATACACTATTAGACATTTTTGTTAAAAATAAACAAAAAGTCTATCCCATGTGTTAGTGAATTTTTTAATATTTTGGGCAGGAAATTAGTTTTCAAATGTAGATATTTTTCTGGTTTGGGACCCCCAGACCCCCTGGAAGATTTGGTCCCCCCCAATGTTGACTCCATGGCTACAGCCTTGGTGAGTATAGACGTGGGTAGAGCCGTGGTTAGAGATATGAGAGAAGGTGCATAGAGATGTGGGCAGAGATGTGAGTGGGTAATCGTCAGTGTCATCTTCAAGTGGCTATTTTAATTTTGCACAGCACGTTGACCGAGCAGGACTTCTGCATTTCAGACAGAAATCACTGTCCATCTTTTCCCGACACTGAATGGAGCTTCACGCGCTCCCAGGTAACATAGCCACTTCCGTGCCCTCGTCGAGGAGGCCGCTCTCCTATCCTACAGTTACATGCTAATTTCTCACATTAACATCACTAGCCCCGGCCACTTCTTTATGACCCTTGAGCTAGACCCATTTCAAACCTTTCAAAACAGTCTGCCTCAGCAGCAGGCCATGCTTTCCCACCTGATGACGGACGCTTGTGTTGCGCCCGAAACGTCGTGATTTATTTTATTTTATACCTACGTGCCTTTACCGAAAGAACCAAAGAGTATGGCTCCCAGGTGTTTATGTAAAGTTACCAAACGCAAACTCGCTATGCATTGCCAGGGAACATTATGGGGAAATAACATGTATAACTGTGCCTCTAGATATGAATAAAATGTATATGTTTAAGTCCGTCAGCTTACTGGCTTTGCGTCAGCCTATTTCACTCCAGCGGCATTTGGTTACGCAGGAAACCACTCCTGCCTGGCTTCAACCTTTTATGCGTCTCATCAGCAGTCAGCCTCGTGACACAGACACGAACTTCGCATGCTCCACTGCCGCCCACGTGTCGGCCTCTGCCACGTGTGTCGGAACGCCAAGTGAGTGGCAAATCTGGTGCAATTGCACAAGATAGACGTCAATGTCACCCCCCCCGGGTGAAAACACTGCAAACGATCTGAGCTGGGTGCGAGTGGATGCACCCCAAAGGTAGGGGGGAGGTGTTGTTTAACACCACCGAGATGTGGCCGTCATCCACTCACATGCGCGCGCTGACATTGTTTTTCATGGTTCGCAGTCTTTTAGGTTTTTTGTTTTGCGGAATTGGATTTCGGATCGGGGGTCGGAGCGACCGCGTCAGGAGCCCCACGGACCCGTCTCACCAGCCGTAGCCATTGTCCTTGGGGTCGTCCAGCACCACGCGGCACACGTAGAGCACGCACGTCAGCACCTTGAGCGCGAAGTTGAACACGCGGATGCGGAGGCCTGCAAACAGGATGCATTTGAGTCAGGAGAGACCACGGCAATATTACCTGTAGGTTTCGTGGCCACGTGAGGCCCTACGGCCTACGCAGGGCTTGTGTGGGTTCAGGACCTAAGCCTTGTCCTCGTCAACCTTGGCAGCGGTCAACGTTCGAACGTTAGCACTTTTATATTATACGTTCCATTTATTTGGAAAATTAATTGCCGTGGCAATGTTTGCATAGCCCCTTAGTGACCTTTCATTAATATTCAACGCTGCAAACGTTATATCTTCAGGTGCAGCCAACCCGTGCGTGTGTATGTATCTGTACCTGTGTGAGCGTGCGTGTGTGGGGAGCAGTAGCGTAGCGGTTAACAGACTGCACTACGAACCCGGTAACCCGAGTTCTATTCTCGCTCACGGCGAACACCAGTGACGATTATCTGAACCGGTTCTGTGCCTCCTCTAAGTCGACTCAGCCTCAAATTAGTACCCTGTGTGGTGTGTAAACATCGCCACTGAGGAGAAAAAAGCAGTCGGGCGTGGTGTGCAGTGCCAGCCTTCATAGGTGCTCGTTCACATCACTTGCCCCAACGGTCTGTTAAGACTATACCGGAGATCTTTGTCTTTTGTTTCTGTGTACTCAGTGGAAATTTTAGAAGCACATTGCTCAAGGCAGGTAGCTATAAAACGCAAACAATTATGACACTCATAAACAGGGCCGTATTTTCCCGAATGTGCCCATTCCGTCATTACTGCAAATTACAAGCACTCATTCAGGCTCACAACCCAACTGATTTGTTTTCGTGACTAAAATACCACCCCCGCCGCTATCAAACAAGACACAAAACAGAGCAGAATAACCAAAATCAACTGTTGTACCGTACAACTATGGCTCCCGGGCCTTCGTCAACTCGCACCAGGTTTGGCGGTTATACGTACAGGGACTCCTCTACTTTCGAACGTTCGACTTACGAACTTTCAGAGAAACGGACAAACCTGGTCCTGTATATCCAGTTACCTGTTTGGACCGAGAGTCGTAAGTTCAACCGCCACGCAATAATTGGCGATGGTGGCATCTACAGAATCATGACGAACAAGTGGCATCTACATCTGTAGAACATGAAGAACCAGTAGCATCTACATCTACAGAACATGAAGAACCAGTAGCATCTACATCTACAGAACATGAAGAACCAGTGGCATCTACATCTGTAGAACATGAAGAACCAGTAGCATCTACATCTACAGAACATGAAGAACCAGTAGCATCTACATCTACAGAACATGAAGAACCAGTGGCATCTACATCTGTAGAACATGAAGAACCAGTAGCATCTACATCTACAGAATCATGACGAACAAGTGGCATCTACATCTGTAGAACATGAAGAACCAGTGGCATCTACTATCTGCAGAACATGAAGAACCAGTGGCATCTACATCTGCAGAACATGAAGAACCAGTGGCATCTACATCTGTAGAACATGAAGAACCAGTAGCATCTACATCTACAGAACATGAAGAACCAGTGGCATCTACATCTGTAGAACATGAAGAACCAGTAGCATCTACATCTACAGAACATGAAGAACCAGTGGCATCTACATCTGTAGAACATGAAGAACTAGTGGCATCTACATCTACAGAATCATGACGAACCAGTGACATCTACATCTGCAGAACATGGAGAACCAGTAGCATCTACATCTACAGAATCATGACGAACCAGTGGCATCTACATCTGTAGAACATGAAGAACCAGTGGCATCTATATCTGCAGAACATGCAGAACCAGTGGTATCTACATCTACAGATAATGAAGAACCAGTGGCATCAACAGAATCATGACGAACCAGTGGCATCTACATCTACAGAACATGAAGAACCAGTGGCATCTACATCTACAGAACATAAAGAACCAGTGGCATCTACAGAATCATGACGGACCAGTGGCATCTACATCTGTAGAACATGAAGAACCAGTGGCATCTACATCTGCAGAACATAAAGAACCAGTGGCATCTACAAAATCATGACGGACCAGTGGCATCTACATCTGCAGAACATGAAGAACCAGTGGCATCTACATCTACAGAATCATGACGAACCAGTGGCATCTACATCTGTAGAACATGAAGAATCAGTGGCATCTACATCTGCAGAACATGAAGAACCAGTGGAATCTACATCTACAGGAGATTATACAACGTTAAAAGCCATTCCCCGTGTTTAGTGTACAAGCCGAACAACGTGTTTGCATTCGACAGGAGTAAAGTTGGACTTACGAACAAATGGACTTATGAACAGAACTCTGGGACCTAACTCGTTCCTAAGTAGAGGAGTCCCTGTACCGTGAAACGTTGTCTCCCGTGACTATGGCTCTAGAGCCCTGGTCAACGTGGTGAAGTATGGTCAAACAACACCCCTGTTGTTTACCGGCGATACGGATAAACACAAGGGGGGCTATCGATTACACATTTGTATTACACTGGTGGTGGTGATGATGATGATGATCTATAAGACAGGGCAAACCCTTACTCGATCGCTTGTTCTTGATGAAGAAAAGTTTGCAGCGTTCCTTGAACGTCTTTTCGTGCACGTAGAACTTCACATGCACCCTGGGGGCAACAACAACAACACACACACATTGTGAAACACCTCGCAACTGGCAAATTGCCCGATGAAGTTGAATGTAATTACCAGCTAAACGTCGTACTCGAATTTTAAATGATGTTGATTCACTCTTCAACACACCGGTGTGCTAAAGTAGTGAACTATTTGTCCTTTGTAAACGTGACACATTTGTTACTGTTTGGCCGTGTCGGGTGGTGGAGGGTTACGACACATTTATAAATAACGCGATCTAACCCAAAAACCTTTATTATGAATAATATTGGTCGCGAAAGCCTACGCGTTAAACTGGTCTCAGGACTCCACTAGGTCGACTCGGTCCTTAGAAAGGGTAGCTGGTACATCAGCATCGGGGGATGCGAAGGCGGACCCCGGACGCCCACAAGTGCTGTTCGCGTCCACAGGTGGCCGCGAACAGCACTTGCCGCAAAGAGTCAGTTCAAAAGGCCATATTGGGGGGTAGATCTTTGTCTTTGGGCCTTGATCTCCTCCCGTGTCAAGCTCGAGGCCCCCCCCCCCTACCCTTCTCACACAGCTGACGGTCGCCGGCCCTGCAATCGCCGTGTTAACCGCTGCGTTTGAGCGGTCGAATCGCGGGTGACTTGAAAGCCAGAATCTCGGCGGTGAGTGGCTCAGCGTCCCAGACGCGGCCACTGTGTCAGGTCGCCGGGCCCACCGCCTCGATGGAGTGTCTCGCGCTCGCATCTCCCAAGCGCGAAATGCTTTTGTTGTTATTGTTAAATGTTATTTTGACCAGGATAAAGTCCCACTGAGCTAATGGCACTTTTTTGTTTCTTTCAGAGGTCATCCAACTTGGCCGTATGCGTGATGACAGTGGCTTCGTCATCGCAGTGGCTGTTATCATCATCATCATCGTCGTCGTCTTTGTCGTCGTCATATCACGTGGGAACTCATAGCAGCAGCCAAATAATGTGAATGCGCGTTCATCCGAAATGTGGCAAAAACCGGAGAGCGATCCACGCTGCCGTCACCACAGGCGAAGAGAGATCAAGGGAGTTCACGCGGACTCCAAATATACAACAGGCATCGCCAGGGTCTGGGATCGAACCCACAACCTCACGCGTGCTGGGCGAGGGAGATCACATGTCCTTGCCAAACATACCAATTGGCGACGCCATGAATTGAATGTTTACACGTTAAACAGTTCACGCCCCACCGGCTGTGGTTTCCTCCCCGCGTAGTAATAATTTAAGTGGGTATTTATTAGAATGTCCATCAATATTGTGCCTATCATAATAATTTGCATAAATTGTGTTTAGTTTGCTGTCCTTCCTTCAACATGCACACATACTGCATATAATCAACACTGCCCATAGACTCACCATTGCCCATAAACTCAACACTACCCATAGACTCAACACTGCCCATGATTTAACACTGCCCATAGACTTAACACTGCCCGTCGACTCAACACTGCCCATAGACTCAACACTACCCATAGACTCAACACTGCCCAGAGACTCAACACTGCATCTCCAATGATCACGCTTGTCTACGTACGGTGCGAAAGAAGTTCTGCATACACACGTACAACACAATCGCGCTGCGCCAAACGTGTTGTCATCAGCGACGAGCAACGACAGTGAACCGCGCACGCGCTCTGCTGCGGTGTTGACTTTGTTTACAGCATGGCATTGTGTTACCCTCATTGTTTGACGGTGTGCGATTGGCCCCTCGGCACACAGCAGCTTCGCCTTCGGGACTCGATCTTCGATCCGTACACGGGAGGTAGCCAGAAGGCTCGCAGTGTCACAGCAACCGATGGGCTCAGCCACCGTGGGGTGCTGTGGGTGCCTCGTGACGCGTCTGTGCGTCATTGAGGCTATAGCCACCTCACCTGGTCTACAGGAGGTCGTGGGTTCGATCTCGACCCTGACGCCTGCTGCTGTATATTTGGAGTTTGCATGTCTCTCTCTCTCTCATCATCACGGTGGCTAGGAGATGTTAACTACCTCGCCTGGTCTAAAGGAGGTCGTGGGTTCAATCCCAACCCTGTCGCCTGCTGGATATTTGGAGTTCGCGTGTCTCTCTCTCTCATCCTCACGGTAGCTAGGAGATGTTAACCACCTCGCCTGGTATACAGGAGGTCGTGAGTTCAATCCCAACCCTGTCGCCTGCTGCTGTATATTTGGAGTTTGCGTGTCTCTTTCTCTCATCATCACCACGGTGGCTAGGAGATGTTAACTACCTCGCCTGGTATACAGGAGGTCGTGAGTTCGATCCCAATTCTGACGCCTGCTGCTGTATATTTTGAGTTTTTTCCCGTGGTCGCGTGGATTTTTCTCTCCCTCCACAGGTTTAGAATCGACGTGCAATTCGCGTATTCGGCTGCGAGAAATGTTCACGCGATGAGCCACTTCGTTGAGCTGTGATAGCCAGGTCGCGTCTGAGAAAGAGCTACATTGGGCCTTACTTGCTAAAATAGAATTTCGTCTGTCGCTCGCCACCAATGATTGCGAGCGATGGGCCAGGAATCGAACTCAGGCCGCCGGGTTCACGGCAAACTCGGCTTAAACCACAGCGCCACGACGCTCCCATCCAAATGACAGTGGTGATGTCGCTCATTGTTATCCGAGGTTCTCCTTTTGTCGTGTCGCTTTTGCCCGACGTTTTTCGCTCAAAGAAAAATTTACACCCCCACCCGCCCCCCAGAATGTGGGAGCGAAACGTTGGACATCGTGCTGGACAGAAGCATCATCATCAGCAGCAGCAGCAACGCGGCCGCCAAAACCTCATCGTAATGAGATCGTAATTCCGCTAATTCTGCACAACAACACCGGCGCAGTTCGGACTTGCCGCTTTCGAACACAAATTCTCTGGCGGTATTTGTCGGGGGGAGAGCGGGGGGGTCCCTAGTAGGGGTCCCACAGCCCCCCCCCCCCCTGTGGTGTTGTTAATATCAAGAAGAATTGAAACTGTGTTGAGCCAGGAGTCAAAAATGCAGTCGTGCCGAAGTTATTAAAATCCTGAGGGTCACACGCGCGGCGCGCTTAATCCGGGACCCGTACGTTTCTTCTCACCACAGAACTGCTCTTATCCGTCCGTGATATGTGGGGATGTGGGGATGTGGTTGCGGCGGGGGTAGGGGGGATTCCAATTTGGACCAATTCCCCCAAGGGGTTATCTGCGAAATTACAGGGTGTTTAAAAATGATTGACCCAATTTCAAAGCAGTATGTTTCACGATGGCAACATCTTACAATTACACAAAAAGTTACAAACGGTTTAATGAGTTATCAAGTTTTATTAACCATTTTATAAATGCTTTATGTGCCCTCCATCTGATGTACAGACAACATCGAGTCGATAGTTGAATTTGTCCCAAACGCCTCTCAAAGTGTCTTCTTCCACTGAAGTCACCGCTGCCGTGATTCTGTTTTTGAGGTCATCCAGATTAGTCGCTAGCGGTGGCACAAAAACACCTCGGTCTTTGACATATCCCCACAAGAAAAAGTTGCAGGGTGTGGTGACGTCTGGGGGTGATCTTGGGGGCCAAGAGTGTAACGCCAAGTCTTGGGGTCCCGTGCGACCAATCCAACGTTGAGGCAGTGTGTCTTGCGAATGACTGAGGCTAGGGGCTGTTTGTGCGCTGGGAGAGCCATCTACTGGTAATCATTTGAAACTCTATGCCCCGCCCTCTCTATGCCTCGCCATCTCCATGCCCCGCCCTTTCAAGTGGTAAGAGTTTCATTCATGGGCGGTTCGTGGTTGTTGCGATTTCAAATCGGGTCCATATTTTTAAATACCCTGTACTTCACTCAATCGCTTTGGGGTAGGCGGGGGTATAAGGGGCATCTTTGTGGATGATCACGGATAATAAGACGATGCATTAGCCGCTCAACTCCAATTATCCGAACAAAATAAATTGTCACGGCGAATTTTGAACCGTGACTTGTTGTCCCCGGGGTGCATGCTGGGAAAAAAGAGAGCGTCGTTCAATGCCCGCGGCCAGCGGGGCATTTGTGACGCCGCTCCGCTGTCAAACGATCTTGTCCGACGTTTCGCTGGCGATTACAACGGGCAACGTCAGCGGCGCTCTGTAATCTCCTGCGGAGCGTGGTACAGACGGGTCCAACTTTCGTTGACTTTGCAATACTCTTCATGCGGTTGTGCTGATGAACAAATGCCATCGGAACATTTGCCCACGAGGCCGCAGCCTGGTGCGTCTGGCTCTGTCGCTGGGTGGTGGAGTTGAAGAGTCAATTAAATTACCCTCTACACTACACGACGCGTGAGTGTTGAACTTCTTTCGCACCGTACATACGATCTCGCCCGAACAGAACGTAATTGCGAATTAAATGCTCATTCTTAGCTTCACGCTGACCGAGACACCCGCTTGACTCCTGGACCTTGTAACAGTTTTATTGGTAGAGTGATGACTGAACTAAAAACTAAACTTCATTTTATTTTACCAGTTAAGGCTCCACACTGAGCTCCATAGCTCTTTTTCTGAAGCGACCTGACCACAAATGACAGCTCAGCAAAGTGGTGGCTTATCATCATTACGTGGACATTCATAGCACGAGCCAAATCGCTCTAAACGCGTAGTGACGTTGATTCTAAATGTGGAGGGGAAAAACACCCGGAGGACCCGGGGAAAAATCCACGCGACCACGGGGAGAGAGAGACACGCAAACTCCAAATATACAGCATGCGCCAGGGTTGGGATCGAATCTACGACCTTCTGTATACCAGGCGAGGTAGTTAACATCTCCTCGTCACCGTGATGATGAGAGAGAGACACGCAAACTCCAAATATACAGCAGCAGGCGTCAGGGTTGGGATCGAATCCACGACCTCCTGTATACCAGGCGAGGTAGTTAACATCTCCTCGTCACCGTGATGATGAGAGAGAGAGACGCAAACTCCAAATATACAGCAGCAGGCGTCAGGGTAAGGATCGAACCCACGACATTCTGTATACTGGGTGAGGTAGTTAACATCTCCTCGTCACCGTGATGATGAGAGAGAGACGCAAATTCCAAATATACAGCAGCAGGCGTCAGGGTTGGGATCGAATCCACGACCTCCTGTAGACCGCGCGAGGTAGTTAACATCTCCTAGCTACCGTGGGGCTCTATAACACACGGGGAGTGAATACGCAGTTATATTTATTGTTTGTAGTTTAAAATTTTAAACAAATAAATAAAATTTACCATCACTCCGGCCGGGATTTTAGGTTTCAATGCGCGCATGTCATCTCGCGTGCCATCTCGCGTGTGTCGGCGATTAGCACCACTAGTCGCGGTCATTTATACCATGAGCTCAGACAAAAATTTAATTAACAGATTAGAAAGCGCGGCTCGACTTCCCCGATACAACCACGTGGTGCTCTGATGTAACGAGCGGACCACTCCACTCAGCTACTCCAATACAACCACGCGTAACCTGGTGTAACGAGTTGACCATTCCACTCAGCTACCCACACATTCAACTGTCGCACTGACGAAGAAGACTGAGGAAGGAGGAGGAAGAAGAAGGAGTTGGGGTTCTCAGACGTAGCTCTCTGATGTCCGCTTCTGCGGGCTGTTCTGTACGGACCAGAGCGTCACTTGACGAGGAAGGGTTCTCAGAAGTAGCTCTGTGATGTCCACTTCCATGGGTTCCGTTTTCAAATCGCACCGAGGAGGAGGAGGGTGGCGCTGGCTGGTGACTCCACCCCAACTGAGAGACGACCCCAGAGCTGAATGTTTTGTTAAACCGATTATCTTCGTTTGAGTCCAATTCCCCTTTGTCCACAGAAGATCGACCTCCGTGCCTGTGACGACTCCTCGCTTTTTTTCGGGGGGGGGGGGAGGGCGAGAGGGATTTTGCCGCAGCGTCTCAGGGGTTGGCCGCGGATCGGTGCGGACGCGGCCACGCGAAACCACTGCCCGTTGTCCCACGGCGCCCTGAGACATTCATGAAAAGACCCTTACATGTAAATTACCATCGTGGTTGTTGTTATTGTTTAAACACGAACAGAAGAGCCCAACGAAGATGCCCCCCCCCCTTCGGCGAGAGCGCAGTGCATGCCGGGGGGTTGACGACGACTCCCAAGGGAAGGAGGTCACGCGCGGCCTGCAGGTAAGGCGCGTCCAGTCGCACTCGGGATTCTCAGACCCTGCCGCTGCTGCTGACACACCAGGCTCTCAGTGGGTTAGCCCCCCGCTATGTCTGTAGAAACCCAGTCGCGTTGACACTCCTACGACTAAGGACTGCCGGGGTCAAGGCTCTGTTCCTGCAGGGGGGTGGTGGGGCTGTGAGACAGAGTAGTTCGAGTTGTATAAGTCCTGTCTTGTTGGTGAGTGGGTGAGTGAGTGACTAGGTGAGTGAGTGGGTGAATGGGAGATTGGGCGAGTGAGTGGGTGAGTGAGTGACTAGGCGAGTGAGTAACTGGGTGGGTGACTGAGTGGATGAGTGAGTGAGTGAGTGGATGAGTGGATGAGTGGGTGACTAGGTGAGTGGGTGAGAGGGTGAGCGAGTGACAGGGTGGATGAGCGAGTGACTGGGTGAGTGAGTGGGTGAGTGAGTGACTGGGTGAATGAGTGAGTGACAAGGTGGGTGAGTGGGTGAGTAAGTGACTGGGTGAGTGAGTGAGTGACTGGGTGGGTGACTAGGTGAGTGAGTGGATGAGTGAGTGACTAGGCGGGTGAGTAACTGGGTGATTGGGCGAGTGAGTGGATGAGTGAGTGAGTGGATGAGTGGGTGACTAGGTGAGTGAGTGGGTGAGTGGGTGACTAGGTGAGTGAGTGGATGAGTGGATTGAGCTGTTGCCACTGCCCAGCTCCCAGACTATGGAACGAGGCTCTGCGCCTTTGTCAATGAGACAATCGGAGTCGTTCGGGGCTGATGGTTATTTAAGTCCCGTCTTGAACATTCGCCACTTTTAAACCGGCCTTTCGCCCGTGCGCCTAGTTCTGGCTGGACACCCAGCGGGCCCCGCTTATTTCCTCGCTTTAAATTCACGGTGGCACATTGGCGGTGAGTTTCTGCGGATAAAGATGTGCCAACTTTTAACAAATTGTCATTATTATTGTTGTTATTGTGAGACTGGCAACGATTGCCTCTTGCGCGTGTCCACGCGGAGAGGCACGCGGCGAGACGTTGCCCGCTACTTTCACAAATCGTGGCCGCCGAGCAGAGGGCATTGGCGAGGCGAGGTTGGGAATGGTGTAACACCACCACCCCCCCCCCCCCGTGCCTCAATAACTGCTTTGATCGCTCTGCTCGGCCAAGACGGCAGAGAACGGAGCGCTCCGCGAGACCCAACAGACTGTGAGCTCGTGACATCACGAGCTCACAGTGGCAGCGGGATGAGGTAGCGAGCAGTTGCGATTTGAGGATTGGCCCAGGGTGAGGTTTGGCACAGGGAGAAAGAGAAAAAGCAAGCATCCAGGAGATAGACACCAGAGGACACGTAATTGGTAGAGAAGACATCACCGACTTAAATCCACGTGGCCCTCCCAAAAACCACAAGCCTCCCCCCCTCTCCATCCCACCCCCCTTCAGCCCCCCACCGCCCACCAAACATCTTGCTCTCACCTCTGCTCGATGTCACTGTCAAGAGACTCGCTCCTTATGAGGGGCAGCATGGTCCAGAGGCGCTCATCGTCACCACCATCACCATCGTGCGTCTTCGCTCGCCACCACCGCCACCACCGCCACCACCGCCACCACCGCCGTCGCCGTGACTGCTACCACCACCACCTCCACCACCACCAATGCTACCACCACCAATGCCACCACCACCACCAAAGCCACCACCACCAATGCCACCACCACCACCAACGTCGTCACCGCCACGCTCGCCGCTGGCACTTAGGCTGCCGGCGATAAATTCACTTTTTTCTGCTGCTGCTGCCCTACGAACGACCCACGGATAATTAAATTAAATATGAAAGAGGCGGGCGGGGGGGAGGGGGTGGTGGGGGGTGGTCAGCCGTAATCCGACGGTGAAAAGTGGCCACGTGAGAGGAGAAAACAACAACAACAAAACCCAACCCGGACAACCCCGACTGCGACCCACCCCGAGACAAAGGCAAAGATCCCCCGTGTAGCCTTTAACAGACTGTAGGGGCAAGTGCTGTTGGCGAGCACCGATGAAGGCCTGAACGGCGCACCAGGGGGGTGGGTGGCCAGCACCACGCCCGGCCGCCTTTGTCTCCCCAGTGGCGATGTTTACGCAACCGCACGAGGCACTCATCGGAGGCTGAGTCGACCTAGTGGAGGCCCGGGACCGGTTCAGACACTCGTCACTGGTGTTGGCCGTGAGCGGGAATCGAACCACGGGGTCACCGGGTCCACAGCGCTACCCGCTACACTACCGCCCCTCACTCCACGGTAGCGCTCACCCCCCACGCCGATCAGCACCCACCCCACCCCCACCCCACACCCACCCCACCCCACCCCCACCCCCACCTCACCCCCACCCCCACCCCACCCCCACCCCCACCCCCACCCCACCCCACCCCACCCCCACCTCACCCCCACCCCACCCCCACCCCACCCCCACCCCACCCCCACCTCACCCCCACCCCCACCCCCACCCCACCCCACCCCCACCCCACCCCCACCCCCACCCCCACCCCACCCCACCCCCACCCCCACCCCACCCCCACCCCACCCCCACCCCACCCCACCCCCACCCCCACCTCACCCCCACCCCCACCCCCACCTCACCCCCACCCCACCCCACCCCCACCCCACCCCCACCCCACCCCCACCCCATTGTGACGCTGAACCATCGCGCGTCCCGTGGCACTTGTTCGCACCACGTGTTGGGGAGCGGTGGCGCAGTGCTTAGAGGCCGTCCATAAATGACGTCACGCACCTAGGGGGGGGGAGGGGTCAGACATTTGTGACGATGTGTGACTAGGGTGGGGGGGTGTTTGAAAAATGTGACGTCACATCAAAATGCGCAACTTTAAATAAATATAGAATTGTTGTAAGAACACTCCTCCAAGATCAGAGTGCAGCGCCACATTAAATACGCACTACAATCACAATAGTTTAAAGCGATTTGAAGCATGTTTTATTTTCAAAATAGAAATATGGTTTTGGGGGGGGGGGGCAGAGCTTTGTGACGTCATATTTGAGAGGGGGGTCTGACTTTTTGTGACGGGGGGGGTCAAATATCGTCCAAAATCTTGTGACGTCATTTATGGACGGCCCCTTAGCGCGCTGCGTCACCGAACCTGGTGGCGGACCCGAGTTCGATTCCCAGCTCACGGCAAGTGGCAAGTGACGATCATAATCTGAACCGGTTGACCCGGGCCTCCGCTAGGTTGACTCGGCCTCAAATGAGTACGAGGTGGCGGTGTGTAACGAAAACACGAACATCGCAACAGGGGAGACAAAGGCGGCCGGGCGTGGCGTCGGCATTTGTGATTTGCGTGAAGGTGTGATGGGTCGTGCAGAAATACAATGATCACTACAAAGATAAATGAGGGGTGGGGAACCTTTCTTCTGCCAAGGGCAATTTGGATATTTATATAACATCATTCGCGGGCCATACAAAATTATCAACCTAAAAATTCGCCCGTTATATTTCATCAAACATTTAATAAACTCGTCCCTAATGTGATGGCTGGAACTGCTTCTCTTTGGCGAGGCGTGTGATGTTAGCTGGTATTGACGATGTTGCTGCTACTCGCAATTGCTTTTCCAGGTTTGCTCCTAGATTGATTGAATTTCGAGTCCCGCCTGCGGTTGCCTTGGCAGGGCCACACCAAATGATTTCGCGGGCCTTGTACGGCCCCGCGGGCCGGACGTTCCCCACCCCTGAGATAAAGGGGGCAGCCCTGCAATTGCCGGCTCACGCCACCAGAGGCTGTCACCCGCTCTCGGAAGCCGTGGTAGTTACCCACACTGCACCCCACCACCGCACGTGACTAGCCTGCCGCTCCACACATCGTCGAAACGACACTGGACACAGGAGGAATACCGTGAAACTCCGCCCGGTTAGGGACCAGAGCATGGACAATGTCAAAAACGGACGAATGTCAAAGCAGAGCATTTATTTACAAAAACAATAATTATTTTACAGTGATCACGAAAATAAGCACAGTATGAATACTGTACACGTGTTTTCTAATCACGAAAATAACACCGTAGTGTTATACTGTTATCACATACATAACTATTAATTGTTTACAGTATAATCCCAGAAGTACAGTATTAAGAATTTTGATTCATATGTTGTTTTATTCTGACTTTATGTGAACGAAAAGACACAAATTCGCCCGTTTTCTCATTTAAAATAGGTAAATTTCAAAATATAACTGGCCTGGTCACAAAAGCAAAGTTTGTGGAGAATAATAGCCATTTTCTGTACTTTGTGAGGCATAAGCAATTAGGAAATAACACTACCCAGGAGCAAAACATATGTTACACAGTGTAATATATGAATAAACACAAATATAAGAGATGCTCACCGAACGAATTATATTCAAAGACTGAACGAAAAAGATGGCGCGTGGCGCGAACGTCGTGGAAGGGTTGCGATGAAATCGGACGAGAGAGGAGAGCCGCGTGGACGAAAGTTGAAATGTGGTGATGATTGAAAACGGCCGAAAGAGCGAAGCAACGAAATTCTGGTGGACGAAAGTCTGGTGGACGAAAGTCAAACGGACGAACGTCAAGTGGACGTTAGTCAACGTATCTCTGTATTTTTTTCACGTTACCAGGTAAGCCTCCACACCGATCTACGTAGCTCTATTTCAGAAGCGATCTGGCTTCTGGAAAATAAATAACAGCTCGACGAAGTTTGATAATCATCGCGCGGACATTTATAGTAGCAGCCAGATACTCTCAACGCGTGTTTCTGAATGTGGAGGGGAAAAACCAGAAGACCCCTAAAAAAATCCACGTGGCCACGGGGAGAGAGACACCGCAAACTCCAAATATACAGCAGCAGGCGTCAGGGGTAGGTATCGAACCCACGACCTCCTGTATACCAGGCGAGGTAGTAAACATCTCCTAGCCACCGTGATGATGATAAGAAAGATAAAGGAACGCAAACTCCAAATATACTGCAGCAGGCGTCAGGGGTCGGGATCGAACCCACGACCTCCTGTAGACCGGGCGAGGTATTTAACATCTCGTAGCTACCATTCTGCCAGGTGGACAGACGTGACGGGATTATGGGGAGTAGGGGATGGATGGGGTTAAGAGGTTAATACACTTTTACCCTCATTTCAACTGCGGTGGCGCCAGGAGATGGAGTCGGACCGGTGGCCCTCTGGATGGCAAAGCCGCGCGGCGCTGCTGACCGTGACACGGCCACCTTGGGATGGGCTGCCTCCACGAGCGCGTGCACAATCGAGCGGGGTCGTGGAGCCGTAAAATTAATCATAAACGGCAATTACGGTGATATATCTATTAAAAGGAGAGTTGCAACATTTATAAATCGGCAAGAACATTGTTGCAAAATCCACGGCGAGACGGGGGGGGGGAGCATGGTGCTTGGCAGTTCCCGTGCCACGCGGTAAGCACCACGAGGGTTCGAATCCCGACTAATGTGACCCCATACTGTTCGGTTTGGACGGCTCAGCCACCCGCTATGCAGAGGGGAGAGTGTCGACGTTTGTGCGTGAGAGTTTGAGCGCCTTGGTGACGACGAATCTGAACTGGTGCTGAGCCGGTTAAATGCTGACTGATGAAGACCGCCAGCGTTGCGATCGAAACGTCGTGGTTTTTTTTTGCTTTTATTATTTTCAATCTATTTTTATTTTTCATTTTATTTTACTACTTTAATTTTTATTGTGGGTTTTTTTGCTTTTATGATTTAGAATTTATTATTTTTATTACTTTCAATTTTAATTTCATTTTATAATTTTTCTGTTTTATATCTCCGTGACTTTACCGAAAGAACCAAGAATATGGTGCTGAGCCGTGCCCCAGAGGTCGACGAGTTCGATTCCCGCTCCCGGGCCGACAAACACCAGCGAAGATTTCCCGAAACGGTCCCGGACTTCCCCTAGGTCGACTCGGCCTCAAATGAGTACTTGGTGCGGTGTGTACACATGAACACTGTGGAGACAAAGGCGGTCGGGCGTGTTCCTGGCCACCCTCCCCCTCGCGTGCCGAGTTGGTCATCAAAGGTGCGTGCTCACAGCACTTGCCCGAACAGCCTGTTAAAGGCTATCCGGGGGATCTTTGTCTCCTTCTTTGCGCGTGGAGTTTGCATGTTCTCCTGTTCACCCTCGCGTTCCCCCCAGGGTTCTGCGTTTTACTCCCATAGATACCCCCCCCCCCGCTCTCTCCCAACACAACGTGACTGGTGTCACGTTTTCAACACTGCACCGCGGATTTACTCGATCGCAAAGAAAAAAAGAGACCCCCCCCTCCCCGTAGCCTTTAACAGACTGTTGGGGCAAGTGCTGTTAGCGCGCAGCACCTATGAATGCCGGCACGGCACACGAGTTAGTGACCAACACCGCACCCGACCGCCTTTGTCTCCCCAGCGGCGATGTTTTTCCACACCACTGCACCAGGTACTCGTTTGAGGCTGAGTGGACCTAGGAGAGGCCCAGGACCGCTTCAGATAATCGTCACTGGTGTTGGCCGTGAGTGTGAATCGAACTCTGGTGGCCGGTGTTCGTAGCGCAGCGTAGCGCTAACCGTTGCACCACCGCGTCACAGCCTAACCCTCACCAAGACCAAC